CAATAATTAACCCCACATTAAATCAACAATACTTCAATTAAAAATTTAAAAAGAAAACAGAGCTTAGACTAAAACAAAAAAAAAGAATTTAGAACTTGGGAATTATTAAAGATGTATAGGGAGGATGTTCAGCACACCACATTTGTAAATCACCTAGATAGTCAACAGTGAACCAGGTACAGAAGCTATATAAAGGGGATGTCTGAACAATGGACCATTCTGCAAACATTAAAATGTGGGCTATAATATGACCCAGCAATCCCATTGCTGGGCATACACACCAAGGAAACCAGAATTGAAAGAGACAGGTGTACCCTAATGTTCATCACAGCACTGTTTATAATAGCCAGGGCATGGAAGCAACCTGGATGTCCAATGGCAGACTAATGGATAAGAAAGCTGTGATACATATACACAATGGAATATTACTCAGCTATTAAAAAGAATGCATTTGAATGAGTTCTAATGAAGTGGATGAAACTATTATACAGTGGATTTCACTATTATACAGAGTGAAATAAGTCAGAAAGGAAAACACCAATACAGTATATTAATGCATATAAATGGAATTTAGAAAGATGGTAACAATGACCGTATATGCAAGACAGCAAAAGAGACACAGATACAAAGAACAGACTTTTGGACTCTGTGGGAGAAGGCGAGGGTGGGATGATTTGAGAGAATAGCACTGAAACATGTATATTATATGTGAAACAAATCGCCAGTCCAGGTTTGATGCATGAGACAGGGTGCTCGGGGCTGGTGCACTGGGACGACCCTGAGGGATGGGATGGGGAGGGAGGTGGGAGGGGGTTCAGGATGGGGAACACACGTACACCCATGGCTGATTCATGTCAATGTATGGCAAAAACCACTACAATACTGTAAAGTAATTAGCCAATGAAAATAAATAAATCAATCGTAAAAAAAATGTGGGCTACAGAAACATATTGAAAGACAAAGTGAGTTGTTCACTGTGTATTAGCGAAAGTGAACAAGATGATAAAACATGTTATATAACCACCATTGGTCATGAATCATCACGATATATGAATATTCATTGGAAGGGCTGATGCTGAAGCTGAAGCTCCAATTCTTTGGCCACCTCATTCGAAGAGCTGACTCATTAGAAAAGATTGAAGATGCTGGGAAAGATTGAAGGCAGGAGAAGGGGACAACAGAGGGTGAGATGGTTGGATGGCATCACCGACTCGATGGACATGAGTTTGAGCAATCTTCAGGAGTTGATGGACAGGGAGGCGTGGTGTGCTGCAGTCCATGGGGTCGCAAAGAGTCGGACATGACTGAGGGACTGAACTGAACTGAACTGATAACCACCATGATTTTAGGTATGTGTTACGAATACAGAAGAAACACTGGTCAAATATATGGTTGAATATAAGCTGTGGTTTTTTACAGATAGGATTCTATATATTTGTTACTTCCTTGTGAGTGCCTTTCTGCATTTGTTGATGACAATAAACGTGTATCACATTTACAGTCAAGAGAGTTTTGCTTGAGTCAAAGAGATTTGCTTGTGTGTGTGTTTCAGTGGCCCAGAAAGAAAACAGCAAGTTCAGATAAAGATCCACAGTGACTCATTACCTCCCCAAAGCAGGTTTCTCTCTCCCAGCTTGGAAATGTTTATGGGAAATGCTGATGTGTAAGGCTGAGCTTGGACCCTGCTTCTCTAGAACAGAGCTCCCCAGAAGGGGCTGTCCTGATCACCTGGGCAGGGTCACCCACCAGGAGATTTGTGACATGTACAAGCCTTGTCCCACCCAGGTACCTTAGAACCAGAATCTGGGAGAGATCTCCCCACCCTCCACAAGAAATGTTTTTTGTGTGTGTAGTAAAACACACATAAAAATTACCATTTACCATGTCAGTGTCATTAAGTATTCACATTTGTGTGCGACCATCATCAGTACTGCCCATCTCCAGAACTTCGCATTCCAACAGAAACTCTCTACCTATTAAATAATAACCCTCCATTCTCCCCTCCCCAATGAATGCGACCACTCTAGGTGCCTCATATAGTGGGATCACACAGTATTTATCCTTTGATATCTGGCTTATTTCACTTAGGATATAGTCTCAACTTTCATCCATGTTGCAGCTTGGGTAAGAAGTTCATTCTTTTTTAAGGCTGGATAATATTCCATTGTGTATATATGCTAATTTTGTTTATCCATTCACCTGTGGGTGGACAGGGGATGGTTTCTATCTTTCGTCTACCGTGAATGATGCTGCTCTGAACATGGATGCGTGAATAACTGGAGTCCCTGCTCTCACTCCCTTGGGGTATACACCTAGGAGGGAATTGTTGGGTCACATGGAAGTTTTATGTTTAACTTTTCAAGGAAACTGCCAGTTTTCCACAGCAGCTTTGTCATTTCATATTTCCATTAGCAAATGCATGAGGGTCCTAATTTCTTTACATCCTCACCAATGCCTGCTATTATTATTTTAATAATAGCTATCTTAGTATGTGAGGTTTCATTGTGGTTTTGATTTGCATTTCCCTAATGATTAGTGATGTTGAGCATCTTTTCCTATTTTATTGGTTATTTGTATATCAACTTTGTAGAAATGTCTGTTTAAGTCCTTTGCCTGCTTTTTAATCAGCTTTGTTGCTGTTGAGTTGTAGGAGTTCTTTATATATTTTGGATATGTGCAGTCATTTTTTGCATATATGTATTTTGGGGTCATAGTACTTGTTAAAACATTCATTTACTTTTTAAATTTGGAAAACATGGAAAGAAAAACGAGGGATACAAGAAGCATCAGTGACTATATTCATTGACTAGGCAATTCCACATCTAGGGATTTGTAATAAGGAATTTTTGTGAACATGCACAAAGATTTAACCATAAGAATGTTCATCATAAAGGAAGGAGGAAGCAAGGATTAATGTCTAACCAGAGCTAAACAACAGGTTAAACAAAACACAGGTCAGTCTACAGAGCACTCTGCCATTACAGGTAACATTGTAGATGAGCACTCTGAACGATGTGTGGACATTTGTAATTAGCCAAGAATGAAAGCAGAAAACTGCAAAAGTTTCTACAGTGCGATCCCAGTTTTGTTTCAAACATATGTGTGATTCTGTAAAGAGAAAGGAAAAGTGCCAACATATTAATAGTGGTGATCTCCTGTGGTATATGAATAGTGGTGATCTCCTGTGGTGGAATCTCAGGTTATTTTTATTTTCTTCTCCGTAGTTTTTTCAATTTTCCAATTATTTCTGCAATAAACATGTGGCTTTACAGTAAAAAGGAAAAAACGTCAATTATTTTTAAGGTATCCACAAGTATATGCACAGTGTTACCCCGATTACGTGAAAAAATATTCACATATCTATTCATAAAGAGTCGAACACAACTTAGCGACTTAACAACAACATCGAAAAACGAATAAAAAAGGTCTCTGCGCTGAGATTCTGAGATGTCTCATTTTTATTTGTATTCTCCCAGGTTTTCCAAATTCCCCAGGGTCTGGTTGTTTTGTTATCTGGTTAGGCAAGATAGAAGGAAAACTGCTAAACTTTTAAAAATGAAAACCTAAAGTAAATGAGAATCTGATTGAGATAAAATTTAGCTCAAATACCTCGGACAGGCGACCAAACAGCTAGCCAGAGTCAGGAGGCGGGACACGGAAACAGACCCACTAGCGCAGCACCAGAAAAGAGGCCCCGCCCAAGCCCCGCCCCCGACGGCGCGTGGCCCCGCCCAGGCCTCGGCGGCTTCTCGGGGACACTGCGTCCGCACAGCCCGCTGCCCAGGCTGTAAGGCGGCGCTCCCGTAGAGGCCCCGCCCCAGGAGCGTAAAGACCACGCCCTTAGGCCCCGCCCCGCTCTCTCGGCCGCGCCGCAGCGTCGGACCTTTAAGCCGGCGGGCCGCGCCCTCGCCAGGGCTTCCGGAGCCGGCCGCGCCACAAGCCCCGCCCCCGGGAACGTAAGGCCACGCCCCCTCGCCGCCACGCTGCGTCCGCGCTGCCCGTCGCGCAAGTCCTAGCTTCCGGAGCGGGACGGAAGGGCGGGTAGCCAGCCCGTCAGGCCGAGGCTGCGAGGCCCAGCCACGGAAGGGCGCGGTTCCCTGAGGAGCCCCCGAGCATGCTTCCTTCTGTCCGCTTTAGCCGTGTCCCCGCCTGCCCCCAGGTGCTCAGGTCGGGGAGGCCACAGAGGAGGCCGCGCTGCTGAGGGGGGCAGAGATCAAAGCGGGCCGGGCCGGCGGATCTCCCCCCCCCCCCCCCCGCTCCCGCCTCCCAGGGACGCGCGCCGCGGGCGGATCAAAGCGCGCCAGGCCTGGCCTGCCCTTCCGAGCGAAAGACTGGCCAGGACGCCGGACCTGCAGTGAGCCGGCCAACGGGCCCAGCCAGGCGACTTCCTCCTGCCCCCGGTGGACTCTGCCCCACGTGAGGGGTCGCAGGGGCCTCAGGCGTGTGAGCCAGGCTGAGTTAGCAATGCCGCTTCTAAGAGAGAAGGCCCCGCGGTCATGAGAGCAGTTGCCGGTTATTGAAAAACAGTGCCAGGCAGGTCTGGGCCTTGTGCCTTCGTAGCAGCTCCATTGAGTGCTGTTCACCTCCTCTCACAGATGAGGGGCCGAGCTCTTAGAGGAGGCTCCTCCAAGGCCTCCCAGGAGAAGGGTCACAGTCTGCATTCGGGCCCCAATCCCCAGCTGTGGATCTCAGGCTTAGACTTGGTGCTAACCTGACTCTTGAGGGGTGAGGGGCACAGCTGGCTGCCAGCTCTTAACTTACCTTTGCTCACTGCTGCCTCATCCCCAGCAAGTAGACCCAGAGCTAAGAGCTGAGGCCATCTTGCCCCACTGAAGGTGCCCAGCACCCACCAGCTCTGCCCCAGGAGCCTAGTGACCTCCCAAGTTAATACCCACCTGTTTGCCTCAGGTGTTGGGAAAGATACCCTCTGCCCAGCATCTGAGAAGAGGGTATGAAAAATGGAGTGGTTCCAGAATGGTCTGTCTGTTGGACCAGGTCAGCTAAGCCAGTGGTGCAAGGCCAGGAAGTGTGAGTGAGAGCAACCTAGGATATTCACACACACACACACACTCTGTTGAAGAAACCAAACCCCCAGCTATACCAGGGCTGCCTGCCTCCCTCATCTCCACACACCCACTTCCTGGGAGGCGCTGAGGGGGCATTTTGTTCTCCACGCGACTTTCTGGCTTGGTATATGAAGACCACGTGATGCTGGACATTGGCAGCGGATGGGACGTGAGGCCCCAGCCCCGGCCAGCTCGAGGCCCAGCACGGCATGCCTGCAGCAATCCAGATTTTCCAGCCTCCAAAAGCACCTCAGAGAGGAAGCTCACATTTGATTTTTTTTTTTTTTGGCTCCATATTAAAGAACAAAGCATGGGAACTGGACAGGCCTCTCTGTAAACAGAAAACACATGTTTTCTGAGAGAATGGGCTCTTCCCTTCCTGGTTTCTTCTCCTGTGGACAAAGGCCTTCTTAGGCCTCCTTGCTTCAAGAGCCAGGAGGCCTCAGACCCAGGGCTGAAAGAAGGTGATGATTTTTTGCCCCAACTCGGCACAACACCCACATTCTTAAATGGGGATGAGAATGGGTGTTAGGAGTCCACTCGGCATTGGGGTGGCCTAGGGTGTGGTCCCGGGAAGCAAGACCCTCAGGAGCCTGAACAGGATTGGGGTGAAGGGAGGGGGAGTCTGGGCCATTTGTATCTTTCAAGCACTTGAGAGTCATCTTGGGTTGTGCTCAAACCATTTTCAGATGAGTGTGTGTTTCTTGAGGCCTACTAGTCATACACCAGGGTAGAGACCTTGCTAACGAAAGAAAGGCTGGGACCTGATGTCCACAGAGGGCAGACACACGAGAGTGTGCACTGCTGTGTGACCTCAAGTAAGTTTCTTAACCTCTCTGAGCCTTAGTTTTCTCATCGGTGAAATGGGAATAATGATACGTGGTTGCTGAGGATGAAATAAGATAATTAGTACAGCCCTGTCAGACAAAGAGAACAAATGAATAAGTAAGAGAAATCAATTAATGCCTCAGTTTCAGTGGTGAGCTCCATCCGTAAGAGTGGCCTGAGAACCGTCTACAAATACCGAGGACTCCCTTATTCACAGAGCACCTCCACATCCCCTGTCCACGGGGCACTAGATGAGCATCACGACTCAGCGACCCTCAGACCAGCTGCAGCATCTCTTTGGAAGCAGTCATCTCAGGAATGCATCATTCTTTCAAATCACCCTAGCAGCCTGATTGTCGTCCTTGGGAGAGATTTGATTTTGGAAATAGCCAGATGTGCTTTGGGCCAAGTTGGCTGAGTAGAGGTGCAGAAGCCAAGCCAGCCCCGCCCCCACCCACCCATTCAGTGCCAGAATGTGCCAGAACTGTGAAGTCAGGAGACCCGTGGCTCCCAGCTCTGCGGGCAGTTTGGAAGGTGAATCTGGACCGGGTCGTCTGGACTGGCCGCTGCTAGTGTCCGTGGGTGTGAGAGTGCCAACATGCGGGCGTATGAACCCAGGAGAGTCACACACACCCAGGCTCAGTGGACGAACCAAACCAAAGCCAGGCTAATTACCGCAAGGCTGCCTTTCATCTCTCAGCTCACAGTTCGAGTTTCATGGAAATCTGTGTGGGAAAATTCCGAGCGTTTGTGACATAGGCAGATGCGTGAGAGGGAGGCAGGAAGTGGTCCTGAAGAGTGCAGGGCTCAGAGGCTGGGGTTTCCTCCTGGCTTTGTACTTAACGGGCTCCGTGGCCTCTGGCTGATCACTTCTCCAGCCCTTGGCTTTTCCATCTGAACAGTGGGGATCATGCTGTCTATCCTTAATGTGAAAAGTAAATTGGGAGCCAGAGGGACGGATACAAACGTGTCTAAAAGTCCTGACCTCATGCAGTGAGGGCCTTAAAAACATGGACACCTTTTGACCTAACATGCCTGCTTCTGGGAATTTACCTTCAGGAAAGAAACATAGCCACACGTGAAACTGTCAGTACAAAGATGTTCCAGTAGCATTTGGGGTGGGGGGTGGTGGGCACACCTTGCTGCTTTTGTATCTTAGTTCCCTGATTAGAGGTTGAACCCGTGCCCTCTGCAGTGGAAGTGTGGCGTCCTAGCCACTAGTTCCCACCAGGGAAGGCCCCCAGCAGCATTATTTCTAGTAGCAAAAAGTTTATTTTTATTTTTCTTATTTTATTTTGGCTGCGCTGGGTCTTTGTTGCAGTGCGTAGCCTTCTCTTGTTGCAGAGAACAGGCTCTAGTACCCAAGGTCTCAGTAGTTGCTGCTGTGGGCTTTGTTTCCCTGCTAGCATGTAGGATATTCGTTCCCAACCAGGGGTCGAACCCCATTCCCTGCTTTGGAAGGTGGATCTTTAACCACCAGGGAAGTCCCGCAAAAACTTGAAGGAAAACTACACATCCAGCAGGGCTTCCCCTGTAGCTCGGCTGGTAGAGAATCTGCCTGCAATGTGGGAGACCTGGATTGGCTCCCTGTGTTGTTCAGAAGATCCCCTAGAGAAGGAAAAGGCTACCCACTCCAGTATTCTGGCCTGGAGAATTCTACGGACTGTGTAGTCCATGGGGTCACAAAGAGTTGGACACGACTGAGCAGCTTTCACTTTCACTTTGCACGTCTAGCAGTCGTGGCAAGGATGATAAGATGGATGAGAACACGGCTCTCAGGAGTAATCCAGGCAGGCAGCACACAGTCTGTGCCCACGCGATGGGTCCTTAACCTGTGCCAGTGACACTCTTAAAAAAGCATTGATAATAGTTCTATTCACAATAGCCAGAACATCAGAAACAACTCAGTTGTCTGCAACAGCAAAACAGGTAAACAAGCTGTGATGGGCATGTAATGGGATAAAATAAAACAATCAACAGACTGAACTGTTGACAGACATATTGATAGACAGATGAATGTCGACTAGGCTGTGTGAGTCCACACTCTGTGATCCCATTTATGTTAAATAAAGGTAAACATCTATAGTGGTAGAATTCAGATCTGTGGTTGCCTGGGCCCAAGGAGGCAAAGATTGCCTGCCAGGGGACATTTTGTGGTGATGGTATTTTCTTTCTTGATTGAAATGGTTTTTAGAGGGATGAAAACATTTGTAAAAACTCATTGAACAGTAAAGTGAAAAGGATCTCATTGCATGGAAATTATACCTCAGTAAAGCTGATTTTTTAAAAAGGTATTTAAATTTTATTTTTCAAATTCTGGAAAGAATAAAATTTAATGACATAAACACTCAAAGCATATTGAACCAAAAGATTCGGAAATAACCTATACTGTGATCACACACACACACACACACACACACACACGGAGTACATATACATATGTGGTTTGGAAATACACCAGAAGGACTTTGAACAAAATGTACCTGGTAATTATCTCACGGGTAATTTTTGTTTTCTTTTTTGTGCTTTTCTATATTTCCAAATTTTCTACATCAAACACTTCTCTTTCTATAAACAGATTAAATAAAAAAACAAATATATCTCCTGTCCCTTCTTCCAGCAGTAGCAGGCCAGGGACACGGGGCTGGGCTCTGGGCCCGAACAGTGACTATGCCCGGGTCCAGCGAAAGGGAACTGCCTGGAAGTCAATAGTGGCGATGGGAGCGTGAGGGTGGGGCAGAGCCCCACCCCTTTGGCCCAGATTCTGTGCTGGGTTATTCTTGAGGGCTGCCATGCCCACTGAGCACCACGCACGCAGGGAGAAGCAGGGTGCCTGGGCCAGCCTGGGTGAGCGGGAAGCCAGACCTTCCTGTTTGGAGTGACAGGAACCTGTGACTCCAAGCCCTCCCCTCTGGGCCGCTGCGATGGTGCCAGTCTTCCCTGCTGTCGTGGGCAAGGGCAGGTGGGCGTTCTGGCCTCTGCCCCGGTGCCACTGTCCCTGCTACCAGAGGTCCACCTCGGGGAGGTCTGCAGAGGGGGCGAGGGGTTGGCCAAAGTCTCCTGCCCCAGCAGCCTCAGGAGGCTGGGGCTATTCTTTGTCACTCCCACTCCCTCCAAGCTTGGGGACACTGAATGGAGACGTGACTTGCCCAGAGTCACCCCAATGGTAGCCCCCTAGCAGCTCAGATTTGCCCCAACGACTGGGTTCCTACTGCCTTTAAATTTCAGCTCCCAGGAGCTTCTGGGAACCAAACAGCTCATTAATGCAGCATGGGTTTGGGGGTCACGGGCTGTGTTTTTCTCGTGCCTTTTGTCCGCTCTGGGTATCGTGCGGTTTACCATCTACTGCAGTTTCGGTGGACTGGTCAGCTGGGCTGAGCAGCTGAACGTGAGCTCCTCTGAGCGCTGGGCTCTGCCCGAGTTTAGAGCTGCTGGGATTCCCCCCCCACATTGGGCCTCTCGGACCCTCCAACCAGCTGGCCTCACAAAGGTGCTGAGGAGGAGACCTGATTGAATAGGTTTCTTTCCCCTCCTCGACTGAGCAGATTCGACAGCAGACTGCTGGAATTAGAAATAAGAGCCTGAAACTCTTAAAAAAAATTTTTTTTTTAACCAAGTCACAAATGGGAAAGATGAGGCAGCAGCAGGTTAAGGACATTTTGTGGTGTAGAATTTTTATCACCCAGCACGTTGGTGACCGTAAATGTCACAATTTATGGTCCTTGGGAGCAGGTGGCAGTAGAAACTAGGGGCTCATATCTGCGTGTGAAGCTGCATGGAACTGTGCTCAGCCTGGCTTCAGTTCACAGTGTGGGGGCCGGTAGTTCTACTTGGATTCTTCTGCGGGGCCTCACAGGGTTCCCATTTAAAAACAAGTTGATGGAGTCAAAGAAAAAAATTTTTAAATGAAGTGCAGGGGGATAGGATGAATCAGGAGATCAGCATGGACTGTTACACTGTAGGACTATACACTACTGATACTACGTATAAAATAGGTAACTAATGAGAACCCACTGTATAGCACACAGAACTCAGTGCTCTGTGGTGACCTAGATGGGAAGGAAATCCAAAAAAGAGGGGATCCAGGTATACACATAGCTGATTCATTTTGCTGTAGGGCAGAAAGTAACACAACATTATAAAGGAACGATTCTGCAATAGAAGCTAAGTTTTAAAACACAAAATGTGTTTGTATGTCTATTTACATAGAGAAATAAACCATAGTGTGAGTGGCCAAAGGTGGCTTTCGATGAAAAGGATTAAGAGGCACATGCTTACTTTCTGTGTGTGCGTGCATACTATCATCGGTATTAGTTTCATAATAAGAAGGGACAAAATATACTCTTACTAAAACTAGTCAAATTTCACCTGAGCCTTCATGGCAAATGACATAACACGACAGACAATCCAGGGTATTTTTATTGAGTATGTGATATGTGCCAGATATTCTGCCAAACTCTCCCACCATCCTGGCTCCTCAGACACCCCACGGGCGGGAGCTGTCACCCCCAGCACACGCCAGTTGAGGCCCCGAGTCCTACGTGCACCCACGTGGCAGAGTTGGGGGCTGAACGTGGATGGTTCCAACTCTCAGAACTGCACTATTTTCCAAAACAATGTTCTGCTTCTTCAAAGCGAACATTTTTCCTACAAACAATGATCTTTCATTCAAATATTTTATCTTGTTTAGATAGAATCTGAAATTATTTCTATATACAAAATTTAATAAAGCAAATATAAAAATCATCTTTTTTTTTCACCCTTAACTGTATGACCCTGTTAGCCAACAGCCAAAGTAGGCAACAGCCCAGAACCCAGGGCAAAATGAAAATGCAAGCCCCCTTGTCCCAAAAGGAATAAGAATTTTAAAAACAACGAGGTCCTGATAAATCACAATGGAAAACAATGTAAAAAAACATATATGTGTGTGTGTGTGTATATACATATATATGTATAACTGAGTCACTCTGTGTACAGCAGAAATTGACACAGCATTGTAAATCAACTATACTGAAATTTTAAAAAATTGATTAAAAATGAATTTAAGACAGGGACAGCAGAGCAGACAGCATAACTGTGCAGGCTATGTACCCATAAACAAGGTCTTGGTAGTTTTTGGCAAAGCTAAGGTGACCTCCCCTTTGGGAACAAGCTGACCACCAGTGACCACATATTTGAAAGCAAATGGGTGGGCTCAAGCTTCAGGAAGCCATGCAGTCCTGGGTGCATTTTTCAGTCTTGGAAATGCAGTGATTGCAGCTCAGGAGTGGAGTCCCCAGTGATGATGCCCGGGAGAGAACAGGCAGCTTGTCCCCACCCCCAGAAAGGACCTGGCCTCTGAGCGAGGGGCTTTCTGTCAACAAGAAATACCTCCTGCAGGATGCACCTCAGCACTGAATGGGGGGGGGATCTTCAGCGTGTTGCTGGAGTGTGGGGCTGACCAACTGGATCTTAGGGAGAAACGCATGGTCCTGTGAAAACGCTGCTTCTGGAGAAGGCTCCTGGGCTTCATTGGTGGGTGGGTTCTTTTCCAGATGAGGCAAACTGCAGGTACTGCAGGGGGTGAACCGGCAGCCTAGGTCCGTAAGCTGAAAAACGCCCGAGGCTCTGAACACCTGCTCCACACGCTGCCCTGGGCAGCCCCAGGCTGACCTGCCCGCCTCCACCACCTCTGTGTCCATGTCAAGTTCTGAAGTTCCCAGATGAGTGGGCGGCACCCACCAGGTGGCCCCATGTGCAGCCTCTTCTGTGACCTGCTTGTGGACATCCAGGACTGACTCCGCAAAGGGTCACATTTGAGAAGTCACTGGTTGGGGTGGGGGGCAAATACCCACTGGGGCGAGAAGTTCTCTGACACTTGGAGGGAACACCCACTTTCCTGGGACAAGAGACAACATACCCCTCACCCTCTAACCCCAATCTGTCTCCAAAGTCCCCTTACCCATTTTTCTTTAAACGAACAACCCACCCCATTCTCCCAGCCTCTCACAGAGCTCTGGAATAGTGGGTCGGGGACTGTTTTCTCCATGAACATGTCTTGCCGGGAAAGACTGACAGACAAACTGACAAACAGGCACGAGAATGCCAAGGCCGAGTGACAACGGATGCTCCTGTTCCAGGGCTCACACAGCTGCCTCCTCCAGCCGACACGTCCCCAGGACCCTGCCAAGCAGAGCCCAAAGGGCAGAGACAGGGTGCCAGTAGACAGGGAGCTCCTGAGAAGAGGAGGCCTGAGCTCCCAGGTGAGGGCCAGCCTGTGACCCTCCCACCTTGCACAGGACAGCCACCCAGAGGGCAAAGACTGGGTCCCACCCTCACCGCGCCCCCGGCGAGCAGGTGGCCCGGACCCTGCCTGGAGCCCAGGTCCTCTTCTGGACATCGGGGTCCCAGCTGTCCTCCTGCTCTCAGACAGAAACACAGGGGAGCTGCTTGCAGCGGCTGACCAAGCCAGTGTGCTGGGGGGACAAGACAGACAAGAGGGAGCCCCTCGGAGGCCAGGCCGGCTGCTGCTGCCTTGGGGTCAACCACCTTCCGGGAAAATCTGGGGCCCACCTCAATCCCCACCCCCGGCCAAAAATTTGCCCAAGATGCACTGGCATGGGTTATAAAACAGGCAGGTGCCCAAGGAAGGTACCTCAGCTGTGGCACCAGGGGCCCTGGAAACAGCCCCGCCCTGAGCTGGGGGTGGTTGTTTACCACTTAAGAAAAAAACAGCCTAAAACAGCTTCTGGGTGGAATTTCAGGTCCTGGAGATTTCTAAGTAGCCAGGCGTCTCCCCGTCGTATTTCTTTCTTTCCTCCCCTCTCCAGGCCTGCGCTCCCTCTTTGTTGCCAAGCTCAGACGACGCTGCTGAAACCCAGCCCAGCGCACCGCGAAGCCCGGAAACTTCCAGCTCAGCGACTGTGCGCAAAGTTGGGGTCGCGGGACCGGGGTGACAGCGGCGCCGCGGGGCCGGGTGCAGCGTGCCCCGGGGCCGGCGGCCTCTCGCGGCTTCGCTCGGCCCGGCCGCGCCCGGACCTCGGACCGTGCGCAGGCCGGACGTGAACTTGACTCCGGCGGTGACCGCGGGGCACCCGGGGATGACCTGGTAAGCGGCGCCCGGCTCTGCCGCCTTCGCCCTCGGCACCCCCCCGGGGCCGCCGGGGTCCGTGGGCCGGGGTTCGGGGCCGGGGATCGGGCCGGGAGGGGGCGCCCGGCGGGCGGGCTCGGGCGCGGGGGGCGCCGCCGTGACCGTGGCCGCCATGGAGCGCACAGCCGAGCCCGCGGCCCTCCGCCCAGCGAAGCCGCCCGCCCCGGCCTTGCGAACAAAGACTCGGGAAGTTCGGAAGGGAATCTTTCCCGACATTTTCGTCCCCCCCCCCCACCCCCCAACCTCGGCCGCTGGGTCTGGGCGGCGGCCATCAGGGCTCTTAAAGGGGACAGAAGCTCGCTCTGGTTTTCTCTGCCCTCTGGTCTTGCTCGGCCCCCCCCCCCCACCCCCGCGCTGGCAGGAGTGCAAGGAGGGGGCGCCGTGCTGCTCCAGCTTCAGGTGTTAAGCACCCCGCCAGGCCCGGGCCAGCCCGGGGCTGCAAGCAGATCAGGGCCTGTGGGGTGAGAGACCCCGGCAGCCAGGGGGGAGGCAGCCCTGGACCCCCGCCCTGTTGACCCCGGCCACTGCCCTGCCAGCAGGTCCTGGGGGTGCTTCTGATCCTCGCCTCCTGCCTGAGCCGCCTCCCTGTGGCCCCCCCGGGGTGATCCTCCGGAGTGGACCCCCAGGCGCCACCAGCTGCCGCCCTGTGCTCTGCCTCGGAGGCTGTTGTGCCAAGGCAGCGTAGTACCAAGTGCGGTGGGAGGTTTGGGGGACACAGCCTCGCGGCGTGGTCAGGGCCTGAGGGGCGGGGGCGGCCTGGGCCCTGGGGGGCCTTGTCCCGGGAAGCAGGGCTGGGAGTCGTGTGTCCCCACTGGCCTCTGCCCACAGGCCTAGGCCCCCTCTGGCCACTTTCTCTGCACTTTCCTCCTCCGTTTGCCTGAGACAAGGCCTCCTGTGAGTGGCCTGATCCCTGGGGGGGCACCCAGGGGGTGGGTGGTGGCAAAGCATCCTAGACCCCCCAGAGGAGTGCCCTGGGCTCTGAGGCTCTGAGGTTGACTACCCCCCGTTTCCCCCTGTCCCAGGCCGGGTCCCCCAAACCCCAGCAGGGAAGGCCTGACTGGGCCTGCTCTTGCCCATGGACCAGTTCCCAACCTTCCAGAGGCCGTGGCTCAGGTCACCTCCATCCCCAGGACACCTGGACCCCAGTGTCCTCTCCACAGAAGGCCACGAATGGAAAAGACCTGGGCCCGTGGGGGTCTGGACCGGTCACCACCCTCGGCACCCTGGACATTCCAGCAGGGGCCTTGAGTGGACAGTCTTCAGGGATCAGGTGGGGTGCAGTGCAGAGTTTGGGGGATGGTGGGAACAGAGAGCACAGACCTGCCCTAAGAGGAGGCCTTGTGACGACTCTGGCCACTTGCTGTCCAGCGGATAAAAGCCTAGGGTTCCAGAGCTTCTGGCTCTTCAGGGGAAGGAAATCTAGATTTGTGCGCAGGATGCCCAGATTTTGAAAACCCCAAATGCAGGACAGAGGAAATGCATCCCTGGGGTGAAGCCAGCCCGTGGCCCCTTGAGTTGCAACCCCTGTGTCTCCGTGAGCTGTTTAGTGTTAAAGTGGGTGGGGAGCAGGTTTCTTAAAGACCCCAGCCCCAGCCCAAGCTATAATAAGGAAGCCCTGTAGATCTGGGGTGCAGGGAGAGGGGAGTTTGTGCCTCATCTCAAAGGAATCACCTCCATATACTGAGTCATTCAGGTGGCTGAAGCTGGTTTGTCTCTTTAAGATCTGATCTGCTTAATTGAGCTGTTCTGAAGTTAAAATCTTCCTAAACCGAAGTACCCAATTTACCCTGGCCCCAGATCCTCTGGGCAACCTGCCTGTCCACTCGAGCTGGGGCCCTGATGCTCTGCAAGTGGGGAAGGAGAGGCAGGATGCAGAAAGTGAACCTGAACTTGAACTTTCTTACATCCCAGGCAATTAAGCCGCTGCTGCTGCTGTTTAAGAAAGCCTGGGCTTATTGTTGCAACGAAGGGTCACCTCTTCTGTGAGGCAGGCCTGCACTCAGACCTTGTCTTGTGATGGCTGGATGACCCTGGGCCAGGAATCTCACCTCTCTGAGCCTCAACTTCCTCACTCATAAAATGGGCTCAATAGCAGTTCTGATTCAGTGGAGTCCTGGGGGAGAGTTGTGACTGCTGTGTGCCTGTTCAGCGTGGCTCGAGCACCCGGAGGCACCCGGGAAATCTAGCTGCTGTTATTTGAGGTGGACTGTGGCTTCCTGCTTCTCTAACACGGCACCTACTTCTGGGGCAGCTTTTCAGATCTTGTATCAACTCTCAACGGCTTGCCTCTCCGCAGTTTTTGTGTTTCTTTTCTTACCCCTAAAGAAACCATCACTGAGCCACTCACTTGTGTTTATAGCCCTGTGCTGAATACAGGGGGTCGAGCGGTGAGTCTGATATGGGCCCTGCCTTGAGAAGCTGCAGGGTGCCCTGTGCAATTATAACACGAGGATGAGCCTCTCTCAGCTAACTTGCTGTCCAGAGAAGGTTGTTTCCTGCCATGCTCCTGCTGCTGGCTATGCCGTCTTTGTTGAATGCCCCCAGGGATGAGCAGCTCACTACCTCTCTAGCAGTGTTTCTGTAGAAGCTGTCAGAGGAAGCCTCCTAGAAGGCTCTTAGGAGCCTTCACTGGTAGGACCAGAGGGAGACAGGACTGCAGCAGTGGTTCTGGGTCTGAGGCATTTGGTTTTCCTGGGGAAAATACACACCTGGAAAGTAGGTCCTAAAAATGTGGCCAGGTGCTGATTTTCAGTCTCCAGGGAAAGCACTGCACATGATCGATGCATGTTTTTGCAAAACAGAGCCCTGTTTCCTATTTTTGCCAGTAGTATGTGCAGCAAGGAGAAGCGGGAGAGAAGGGGTCACGCAGTGTGAAATAAGACAAACCGAGGACAGAAAGTGGGCCGCTGCATGCAGGAAACTGGAAAGCAAGGGCCAGGTTCTGGAGGCCCCAGGCTCCTCGCTGGGACTGGCTACATTGGTGCAGCGAAAGTGAAAGTGTTAGTCGCTCGGCCGTGTCCGACTCTTCGCCACCCTGTGGACTGTAGCCCACCAGGCTCCTCTATCCATGGGATTTTCCAGGCAAGAATCCTGGAGCGGGTAGCCATTCTCTTCTCCAGAGGATCTTCCTGACCCTGCTGTTGAACCTGGGCCTTCTGCACTGCAGGCAGATTCCTTACTTCCTGAGCCACCAGGGAAGCCCAACATCAGTGCCGAACCCGGCGCAAAATTAAAATTCAGAAGTATTGAGATTTTCAGGAAGGTGACGGCAGAGTGTTAGGCGAGTGCGGGGCCTTCGGAATGCAGGGCCGTGCCGAGCGCGGGGCCCTGTGTGGCAGAGGCCGCAGGCCGCACCCCCCAAGCTGGCCCGGCTCCATGCACGTGTCCCTGCCGCGTGCCGAGGGCCGGGGAGGGCCTGCCCGCGGCTCTACTGCAGGAGCATGACTCTTCTCCTGCAGTGGTTTTTTTTTTTCCATCACCGATGTTACATGCTAATTTTAGAACATTTTGAATCCTCATAAAAGAAGAAAGGAAGTCTTCAATCACCTGTGAAACAACCCTCAGAAATAGCCAGTGGGAGCACTTCATCTAGCTTCTATAAAACATAATTTTAAGCAGAATGAGCATCTTAGCATCTGATTATATGTATCATTTTGTCTTCTGCTTGTTTCACTAAATATTTTGTCACAACTGGTTCCCCAAATCAGAAGATACTTTTCTGCAAGTTGGTTTTTAATGACTGTTTAATATTCCACTGATGAATGTCCTCATGGGCTCAGTCACTCGGTTGTGTCTGCTTGTGACCCCATGGACTGTAGCCCGCCAGGCTCCTCCTTCCATGGGACTTCCCAGGCACGAATACTGGAGTGGGCTGCCATTTCCTCCTCCAGGGGATCGTCTCGACCCAGGGATCGAACCCACATCTCCTGTGTCTTCTGCATTGGCAGAGGGATTCTTTACCATTGAGCCCCTGAGGAAGCCCCAGAACTCTTTAACTAACCCCTCATTATTGGACACTTCCGTTATTCCCAGTTATTTCCGGTTTTTTGTGTTGTTTGCGGAATGTCTATGTGCATGTTAGGGTTTATTTCCTAAGGAATTGAAGGCTGTTAGGAGAAACTTTCAGGTTCCAGAAGCCTTTGGAGGTTGTCTGCAATCCCACCTTGGCCAGGGGCTCAGCCCCCAGCACCTGCACAGCAATAGCACTGAGGGGGGGGCCTGCTGGGCCTCTTGACTTTTAGAGGGAAACTCAGCCCTCGTCAGAGTTGACCTGACCGGCCAGTAGTGAACACACACAGCCCTGGCTGCTGCGTCCACGGCTGCTCCGTAATGGACCGTAACCAGCCCCCCTTTACAGACAAGTCCAGGGGCACTGGCCCGGGGCCCTCCTGCCTGTCCTGTGCTGAGAAGGCCACGTTTGTGATTACGAAGCAGGAAGCGGTCCCTCTCCCCAGCAGACTTCCAGGAGGATCTGGGGGTCCAGGCTGCCTAGAACCCCGAGGCTGTCAGGCTGGGGACGGGATGAGACAAGGTTTAGCGAGGTGCCCACGCGTGGGCGATGCACAGTGAGTGGTAACCAGGCTGAGGAGGAGGTGGGGAGGAGGAGGAGGGGAGCCGGCAGGTGAGGTTACAGCCCCTCGGGCGAGGACGGCCCTCAGTGCGACTGGCCACCTGCCCGCAGGCTCCTGAGCGCAGGGGTGAGATCTGCTGACCCCAGCCCAGTGCTGCCCGGCGCCGTGGAACTCCGTGTATGCGGCGACTGGGCCGCATCCCCAGGGTCTCCTTCGGAGGCATCTGGGCTTACTGGGGGCAGGGTGGGGTGTCAGGTTCCTGGTGCTGCTGTGACAAAGTCCACCAATCTGATGGCTCAAGTGGTCAGAAGTTATGGAGGCTGGAAGTCTGCAGTGTCTCACGGGCCTCAAATCAGGTGGGGGCAGGACTGCCTTCTTCTGGAGGCTCTGGAGGAGAATCTGTTTCCTGGCCTCTTCCAGCTTCTGGAGGTGCCCACATTCCTTGGCTCATGGCCCCTTCCTTAATCTTCAGAGAGAGTGGTGTGTTGCTTTCTCTGATTGTAGCTGGGAAGGAGTCCTGTTGTCAGCTCGTCCCCACCTGGATAATCCAGCTGCTCTCCCAGCTCCAGACCTTTAACTTCATCACTTGCAGAGTGGATTCAGACTGTTCTGGATTTATCCCTGGGCTGAGGAGCTTCCTGCCCGAGGCCACTCCGGCTCCAGGCTCTGTCCACCTCAAGGGCAGAGGGTCTGGGGACTCTGGCAGCTTCTGTGTCAATTTGGGAGCTCCCCTTTCTCTTCCTCAGCCCTGTGGGTAAGGCTCAGTGGGCACTGCTATCATCCCCATTTTACAGATGGGCAAACAGAAGCCCAGACAGACCAGATAACTTGCCAAAGACCGTATAGCTGGCCAGGGGCAGGGCTGAACCTTGGTGATGGCTGGACCTTAAACTTGGGTTCCCAGGGGCCCACCACCTGCTTCCAGGAATGTGGTCTTGCTCAGCTCTCAGACATAGTTCTTGATTCTTTCCAGAAGAGTGGTGAGGCTTCCCGCCCCATTCTCAGAACAGCCTTGGGGGCAGCCCTGGGCAGGGGGCTCATGTGATTGTGGAGGGATCTGGGTGGGGGAGTTCATGGTGGGCAGGGCCTCACTGCAGCCTGCGTGTTGGTAGGGAGGGTCAGGGTGCCGAGGGCAAAGGACAAGTGGTCCCAGAGCTCTTCACAGGCGGGTGCCCTGCTGGGGGCTTTGGGACGTCCCTCCCTGACATTGGCACGGAGCCAAGCCGCTCGGGAGGAGAAAATGAGGAAGAGGATGTTCCGCAGGCCGCCTTTGAAGCTGGGGTGGCTTGAGGGCAGCCGAGGGCGTGCCCCCCCCAGGCCGGGACCCCTCCCTGCCGCCGCCTGCTGCAGCTGCCTCCGCACCGGGCCTGGCCTGGCATGGGAGGAGTTAAGCCGCTGCGGGCACCTTGGCACGTCGTGCCGCCCAGAACGTCCGGCTCCCCACCCCCACTGCTTTTCTTCCCTTTTTGCCTTTTTTCCTTCTTAATTAATCATACACTGCTGCCCAATTTAAATATGGAAATGCCCAGGCCGGGCAAGGCGATTATTCCTCTGGCCAGGCAGGCTGTCCGGGCGGGCCCTGGGCTGCGGGGAGCATGGAGGCATCGCCCCCTTTCTGGTGTGTGTGAAATTACGTGCACAAAAGGCGTCTCCTCATCTGAGTGTGTGAACTAAATAAATAAATAAGGGCTTTTGTTTGTTTGCCGGCTCCTGCACATGACTGTTTTGACTAAACCGCCCGTGTTGTCTGTGCCTTTATGGGACTCGGGAGACAGGGGGCCGGGGGTGGGGGGGCGGCCGGCGGGCATCTGGGCCTCTCTGTCCCCTGGCACCAGCGCACCCCCGCCCCTCCCCGCACACACACCCTCACAGGAAAGTTCCCCAGCCCGGGCCGGGCTCCCAGGCAGCTTGGCGCCGTGCCAGGCTCGCCGCTGAGCGCGGGCAGCCGGGTGGGGTGAGCAGCGGCGGCAGTGAGGACGTGGCCGGGCACCCTGGGCGCCAGCAGGACCCGAGGCCCGGAGGCCGGGGCCCAGAAGGTGAGGGACCCCCGGGTGGGCACAGGGTGGCCCAGCAGCAGGCCGCGGGCGGTGCCGCCAGCCGGGAGCAGGCCCGGGGCGGGCAGAGGGGAGGCGGGCAGAGGACGCGGCCACAAAGCCGGGCAGTGCCAGGCATCGCTGCCTCCCTCCCGCCCGCCCTGCCAGCCCGGCTCCACAGGGAGGCCGCGTGCATGGGGCTGGCCAGCCGCTGCATCCGCGCTGTGGCTGCTCTGGCCGGAGGGAGGCCCAGCGAGGCGGGGCCCAGGGCTGTCAAGGAGAAAAACATCCCAAGGCCTGCAAATTGCTGCTCTCAGCTTTTTTTTTCTCCTCCTGCTTGAGAGAGAGAGAGAGAGAGAGGAAAAAAAAAAGCAGCGCTTCCTCTGGAGGCGGATGCAAAAAGGATGCAGAATTTTAACCATCTCCTGCACTGTCTTCCCCCGCAGGGTGGCCCAGGCCCTGCGCGGTGGCACCAGAGGAGGGGTGGGTGGCGAGAGCTTCAGATGCCTCCTTCCGAGAGGGGCTGAGAAGCCCGGCCTCCCCACCCTGGCTCCAGAGGCTGGGCCCCACACAGGGGTGTGAGGACTGGAGGGCGTGGGTGCCCAGAGCTGGCCGGTGGTGGCCCGCTGCACACCCTAACAGTCACCCCTTGGGTGGCCATCCCATATTTGGTGGGCTCATCTCCTGGTGGGGAATGTGGCACTCAAGGCACCCGGTCAGGGACCCCAGCACTGAGCTGGGTGGGGGATGGGGGGCTTGGTTCTCGCCGACTTGGGGCCTTTAGTCATGCTGCGATCCTGGGCCTTGCTCATGATCAACATTTGTGTTTTAAAAATAATGTAGAAAGGTTTTTGGTGTCTAGTGGGGCTTTCACAAGCCATTCATCCAGGGCAGGGCTTAAGGAAGGAATTCTAGATTGAGGAGGGTGATCTGGTCACTGGAGGGCTGGCAGGGAAGTCCCAAATGCAGAAAGAGAGGCCAGCGCACCTCTGTGGGTGAGGATGCTGTTCAGTGAGTGCCAGGGGTGCTCGGACTGACGGTCCAGGCAAGCACAGTGCCCAGGGTTCAGAAATACGTTTTAATTTTAATCAGAAGAAAAAAAAATAACTATAGCAATAATGAACACATAATGATGAATTCAGCATGGGTTATATTCTTCTTGACACCAATGCAGTCATAAAATATAATTTTTAATATTTGTGGAGGAAGGAGCCATGAAAGCAAAAGTTCTTGAGTCCAGGAAAGTCGTGATGGGGCCTTGGGCGAGGCCGGTCCGTCCCAGAGCAAAGGGTCAGATGTCCAGCTGCAGCGGGGCCTTTGGGTGCCCTGTGAACCGGGGTCTCTCCGAACTCCAGCCGGCATGGCTGACATGGCCTGCAGTGGAGAGTCAGGGCCCTGGAGCACGCGTGTGCGTGTTCCTGCACATACGTGCTTTACAAAGGAGTCCCAGACACCTGAGTGTGCAAGACCCCGTCCTCGAGGCAGTGAACACAGGCTGGTCAGGTGAGGCCATGAGGGCCTGGGTTCTGGGCCACTGGGCGGGGAGGGACAATGGTGTCCCCACTGTGTGCCCAGGAGGAAGTGGGTTGCGGGCAAGGCCCATTCCCAGGCCCTGGAACCCACAGCCCGGCGTAGCTCTGTCCGGTAGAAACACTGCTGCCAAGGCAGCCGCATCTGTAATGTAACATGTTCCCCATCTTTACAGAAGTAAAAACGGACAGGTGGCATTCACTTTAATAACACAACTTTAATATGCATCCGAAATAATGCATTTCAGTGTGTAATTAATACGAAATTATTAATGATATATTTTCCCTTCCCTGCCCCCCCACCCCCGGCTTTGTATTAAGTCTTTGAAATCCAGAGTGTATTTTGCACGTACGTCTCCGTTCCGAGGGACTCTCTGCAGTTCAAAGGTTCCGTGGCCGTGTGTCAGGAAGGGCCATGGCATCAGGCAGGGCAAGCTTAGCGGTCCCTAGGGCTCCCCTCCCCCAGAGTTGGGGAGACTGGTTTTTCTGCTTTTTTTTTTTTTGCTGCTATCCCTTCTTGACCAGGGGAAAGGACGCTGCCCTGGCTAGTCATGCCCCCAGCAGCCCCGAGAGCTGAAAGAACGGGTGTCGAGGCTGCAAGTTTCCAGGACGAGGAAGGTTCCTCGGCCGCGCTCCCAGACGCCAGGGGGGTGGTACAAAGGGCTGGCTTCAGGGCACAATAGGGGGGCGGTTAGTCACAGTGCCGGGCCGCGGGCAGGCAGACAGAGCTCCCTGTGTCTGCGCCTGTCCGGGCTGGGCCCTGCCGCCCGGTCTCCCCTGCCCGTGGCCTTTTGTTTGCACCCTTCCCCACTCGCCGCTTAACCCCCTGCTGCCCGCCGCCTACCTGGCCACCTGGGCGGGACAGCGTTCCCAGGCTCTGGTTTCCATCCGCCACCCCGGCCAGAGGCAAGCTTTCCTCTCGAAGTCGGGCTCAGGCCTGCGTGATTTCATTGGCATCACCGGGGACAGAGGCGTCAGGACAGCTGTGTCGCCGTCAGCGTGGCCAGGGGCATTTGTGTGGCTGTGGGACTGGGTCTGTGTGACTTAAAGGTCCCATCAGCATTTGAGAATATTCGCCACGCAGGGAATGTGCGTTTCTGGAAACAATGAAAAGCCAAAACTGTGAAAAATTAAGGAGTGGCCCTGAAGCTGGTGCCTGCACTGCATGTTTTAAAGTGAACAGACTGATATAAATATTTTAATCCTGCGCACAGATAGATGGATAAGATAAAATAAATTAGTCATGTCCCAGCCTTGTCTAGGGATTGGAAACAGGACTTCTGTCAGCATTTGCTATTTAGCAGTTACAATTAAAATCTCCCCTTGTAGGTTGCAATCCTGGCATCTCAGAAATGGAATTAGCTATTTGTTGTGATTTGACAGTTAAATTATTAACACGTGGGGAAGGTAACTGCCCCCACCCCCGCCACAAAAGGTATAAAACACAGTTAACAGCCTCCCCCGCCTCTCTTTAATTTAAAAATGATCTGTGCAGAGATTCTGCATGCTGGCTTCTCTTTGTAAAATTAAAGTGGCAATGTGTTTTTATTTTAGAAGGCAGAGATGATTTGCTGTGCCCTGGGTAACAAGGGGAAGTAAAAGAAAAGGTCCTGTGAAAATGTGCCCATTTCCTGACAGCTTAAAAAGCCAAGAGCCAGACGTTTTTTCTTGGAGGAGATAGATGTCTCCAATGTATTCACCTTACCTGTGGGTGACATTTTGTAATTATCTATTGTATCACACTTAAGCCTTATCTAGAAATTGAGGATGGCTTTGGAATATCACAAGCTTGGACCTGTTTGGCCCCTGCGATGTTGGCGACTCTCTCTTAAAAATCACTGAACGTCACCTCTGGGCCCAGCCGGCTCTCGGGACGGAGCATACGGTCTATGTGCATCCCACTTCTGCTTTCAGATCGTACGTGATGGGAGACTTATGGTCAGCTCACACCCTTTCATTCTGATGTATTTTAAACCAGTTGAGATGATTTTCACACAGAGTGGTATAGCTTACTTGCATTCTGAGGGCCACTGGCTTTTCAAGCTGGAGTACAATTTTTTTTTTCAAAATCCAAATTTAGAAATTGCCTTTTAGAGTAGAAAACAGCATGCTGGTTTGCCTTTTAACTCCCTTTGAAAGAAAGACACCAAAGATCAAACGTATTTGATTCGTGGATTTGTTCCCATCCGTTGTTATCTAGGGGCTGGAAATGGCCCACTTTGACAAAGTACAATAGGAAAAGGCGTGTTCTCACGCAGGCAGAGAGAGTTCTTCGGGGTGAACTCGAGCCCCAGAGGGGCCACAGCGTGTTTTTCCTTCCCAGGAGGAGTGCGACGTTCACCTATAGTGTCATATGAAAACAAGAGAACCCCTGCCTTTCTGAGACGCTGTCACACCTCTGCCAGGCCACTTCGCTGCAACACACCTCTTGAGATAATTGGATCCTGTGCAAATACCATTGTTTTTGAGCAAACCCAACACAATCTTCATTCATTGCAGTTCCACCCCGGCCATAGGCACCACCTCCAGTAATGAGGAAAAATAATGGAAAAAACGGGAAACACACTGGATCCTTGGGAAAAATATCTCCCCTGCAGGAAGGTGCTAAGATGGAGGTCCGGAAGCTGCCAGACGGACAGTGGGGTGGGGGCGGCGACTCAGAGCCTTCATTCAAATCTTGTGGCTCTTAACTCAGCTCCTCCACCCCCGAGTGTCCCAAATTGAAGAGGAGGGAGAAAGTGTCCTTCCCTGCTCACTGTCAAGGGTTGTTGCAAGAATTATTCACACGGCAGCCAAAATTTGCATAGCAAGGCTACCCAGTTTCATTTTCTATTTGAAAGCGTTTCTCTAAAGGGTAAAGTGCTAGAGACATGTGACCCAGCGTTATCATCTTAAAAACTTTCCTGGCAATAATATATGGTTCTTATTGTTTATGTTCAACCCCTGAGTAATAATAATCATTTATCTTAGTCTTAAGATGAATTCTGTCTATTGGACTTATAATAGTTTTATCAGTAATAGGATCCCTTTCTATTATGAAAGCAATATATGCTCACTGTAGAAAGTTTGGAAGATGCAGGAAAAGGCATGACAGGGAGAAATCGTTCAGCACCCACGAAAGCTCTGGTCCCATGTCCACAGATTTCCTTCGAGCCTGTCTTCTCTGCCTTGTCGTAGCATCTACTTCCTGATGACTCCATGGCACTTTTGGGCTGGGGCCATCTGGCCTCTTTGTGTTTCTGTTTTCCGGTGGCAGCGCCCAGCTCCAGGCCGCCACCTTCACGCAGGTCCTGGTGTTTGGGGAGAAGACCTCAGCCCTGTGGTCCCGGGGCCCCTTCCCCTGCCCTCCTGGGAGCCGTGTCAGCATAAGGCCAGGCCGCCAGCGAGGCCCCAGGGCAGAGCCCAGCCTCTCCCAGGGCCTCGGGGACAAGGGGCAAGTGGCGGAAAACACAGCCTCCCACGGTGCCCACGGTGGTGCCTACCATGGCGATGGCCAGCAGCACGGCCCGGCCTCCTCCAAGCTGATCAGGGCCGGGTGGTGGGAGGACAGCAGGCGCCCCACGCAGGCGGTGCTGAAAAGCAGGCCTGAGGTCTGACTTCTCCCAGAGAGAGCCCCTCGGGCCAAAGCACTCCTCAGACATGCGAGCTTTTGACAGAGCTGTCGAGATAATGTTTCCGAGGTGTTCGGCTCTCTGGTCCTGACTTAAACTCACCAAGTGGACGGTGGTTGGTGCCAAGTGACTCGGTAGGCACACAGAGGCCAGAGCTTTCATGCAAGGGCACGGTTCCCAAACGCTGTGTTGCAATCGGGCATGTGCCTCGGCTGGTCCCACAAACCCATGAGGCATAAGTCCCACAGTTACCAGGCCTCTGGAGGGGGAAACAAATGAGTTTCCATATCACTATCTGCAGTAACTGTGATCTGAAGTGAATTCTAGAATTTGTAAGTTCATTGCTGCTACCGTGAAGTCTACGAAGCTCTGTCTTGACCCCCTCAGATAACGCTGTGGCTTCAACGTCAGATTAACGATGGATCATTAAGAGATTTGTTAACAACCCATGTCTCAGACAAACTTCACAGGCAAGGTCATTGGTTATAGTGTTAGTTACGGTACAGAAATACTAGCAAGAACTGAAGTTTGTAATAATAATAGGGAGTTCTGGGGTGAATTATCACGTAACAGTATAATGGAATATTAATCATGTCACTGTCAAAATACTGTTGACAAAAGAGTTTGTCAGCACGTAGGGACGTATGGGAGCCAGTATTTCCCAAACAGTAAATATGTATGTAAATTATGTATTAATATTGTGCATCTGTTCACTGTTGGGAAGGAAATGCAATTGAATATTATTTTCTAGATAATGGCATATAGGTGAATTTTCCTTTTTCTCTGTATTTTAGACTTGGATTATTTATATTTCTTATTAAATTATCTCTAAAATGTCTATCTTCATATTTTACTTTTAAATTACTTATGCTTTATATTAGGCTATGCCTTCTCTAAACATGTGGTATTTTTATAAGCAAGGAAAAATCATTTTTGAAGTCTTGTGAGTAGAAATCTAGACAAATGGCATATTTTCCTTCAATAGTTGTGGATAGATGGCATGTAGCAGAAATATTCGTTAGGTCAACAAATATGTATAGTCAGTAAATAGTATTCGTTCTCTTATAAAAGATTTGTTTGTTGATAGCTTATTAATCAAACCCTGCATGAGTCTCCTAGTCAAACATGTATACTTGAACGGCTAAGGCATAAAAATGTCAACTAGGATTTTGTTTGAATTTAAGAAGTATTTTTGTCCCCATAGACAACAGCATCAAGAAGTGGGGGAAGGTGTTCTTATTTTTCTTGGATGTTTGGTCCAATAACCTACCCCCCACCCCACAATGGTTAGACTGCTTGATTTTGAGTTTGTGCTTTCTGCTCCTCCTGCTTGTGTTTTAAGGGCAATTAAAAAGATCCTGCAAGTTCCTATCTGGAGAACATAGATCTTGAATTCAGCATGCCAGATGATACACTGTGGTCTCTGGGTGGAAATCTTAGGGTTTATTTATATGCTCATGTGCTTTCTTTTACAAGAAAGAAAGAAAACATAATTCCCACCCCCACCCCCCCCCCCCAGCTTGGACTTCCCAGGACTTCTCTACCGCAACATATTATTTTTAAAATGTATATTATTCTGCAGCCTTAAGTCACCTGCTGCCGGGCAGTGTCCAGACAAGAGGCGGGCATTTTCTCTTTTAACCCTAATGCTGCAGGATGGTGTGACCTGAAAAACGCTGTCCGTGTTTGCATCTAAAAACATCAGCCTTCAAGCAAGTGCCATTTGCTGTCCCGTAAAATGAATTAAATGAATTCTCCGGACCAGCAGTGTCGGAAAGGGTCGGGAAATCAATGACTCCCTGCCCGAGGTTGGTTTACTAGGCCCGGTGGAGGGGGGGCGGTTCCCAGAGGGACCCCCGCCCGGGCCGCCACGGGGCGCAGGTGAGCCGGGCCCCAGGGCCCCTCGGACAGCCGCCCCCGCGCGCTGAGCCGCGGCTTCCGTGTGCGCGGGTCGGGGCGGCCCGGGCGGCGGGGGACCCGGGGAAGGGCCGGCGGGGAGGCGCCCGGCTGGGAGGTCCTGCGGCCTCCGGGGCGCGACCCTCTAATCCGCTTTAGTCACTATATTGTCCGCTTTGCTCGGGCAAAGTAAACAAGGCGGGCCCACCGGGCAGCGGCCGCCGGCCCGCGACTCCCTGACCCCGGGGTCGCGCCCTTTGTTCGCCCTCAATGGGCCCGGCCCGCCGCCCGCCCGCGGCTAATTGGGGCGCGTGCCGCCGCCGCGACCCCGGCCCCGCCTCGGACCTGGGCTCCGGCAGGCCCTCGGACCCCGGACCTGGGGACCCCGGCGCGCATCCGTTCCCGGCGGGCGCTCGGACACTGGGCCCCGGACCCTGATCCCTGTTCGGACCCTGATCCCTGCCTGCCGGACCCGCCCCAGACTGGCTCCAAGACTCCCAGCCACGTGGACCCGGCCACCGCCCCGCTCCCCACCCGATGCGGACCCCAGGCCCCAGATATTGAGCCACCTGCCGGCCCTGGCCCTGCCTGGAGGAGGCGCACGAGGCCGCCCAGCCTGCAGGGCCATGCGGACCCGCCCGGAGGAGAATAGCCCCAGCCCCACCGCCCGCCCAGGTCGCCGATGCGCTGGTCCGACGACGGACCCCAGGCGGCCGGCGCCCCGTCCAGGCCGGCGCCCGGCTGGAGGCGCCTTAGGGACCGCGAGCCGCCGGCCGAGGTGCGGAGGAGGGTCTGGGGTGCCAAGTTTTCCTTTCTCCGCACCTCGGTTTCTGTGGGCGTCCTGCCGACGAAAAAGCAGAGGTGCTCCTGGGGTGCCTAGTCCAGAGCCCCCGGCGGGGACACAGGGACCTTCCGACGCTTCTGCTCCGGGATGCGGCCCCCACCCCTCCCAGCCCTGCCTTTTCCTCCAAATCACTGCCTCACAGAGACCCGGGGGCAGGCCCAGGTGAGGCCCTCCAGCAGGACGTGCTGAAGGCAGGTGACGATTCACTCAGCCTTGAACTTATCCTCTGCCTTCTTTGTTTTCTCCTCCAGTGCTGGACAAGGTTGTAATTTTTATCCCAAGCAACTTTTGAGACTTAGCACCTTGTAACCTTTGTTTTAATTTTTTAAACGTTTTGTCTTTTTTTTTTTTTTTTAAAGCCTGTTGTCTTGTAATTAAGTGCAAAAAGGAAATGAAAAAAAGGAGTCTTGGAAGACTTTGCCTTTGAAAATGAACAGGGCGGCGGCTTCAAGTTCTTGGCCAAGCCAGACCCTCTGGCCTGTGCTTCCTTGTGTTCTGTGGGTTTTGTTCACCTGGCTTTGCCGAGGAGACACTATAAAATGCTGAGTTTGTTTCTGAGCTGGTCGTTTACGGGGTGCGATATTCTGAGATGGAAATTGGCTTTGGGGCAGACGTCCGGTCTCGAGGGTGATCTGGTGGGGTCAGTGTGTACCAGGAGTCCCGGGAGGAGGCAGGCGCGTGGGGAGTTTCTCCCCGCGGTGCAGGTCTCTGCTGGAGAGGGCAACACCATGGCGACCGGCCCTGCCAGCATCGCCTTCAGTCCACCCATTCCCACATAACCCGGTTCCCTCTTTCTGCACCCGCTCCTTGTTGTCCTGGCCCCTCCCCAACTCGGCAGTATCCCCTGTGCTTTTCCGTTTCTGAGAAGCAGGAACCGCCTGATGGGAACGCATGTGCCCCTGCAGACCGCTGGCATCTGGGCACGGGACCTTGGCCACCCCTCCAGAAGAGAACTGCCGCTGGAGCCTCTCCACGGGGAGCCTGTCATTAGGGATGCTTGCTCTGAGGTTCTCCCAGGCCATCCGCGTCGCCCGTTTGGCCTTTTACATTGAGACTACTGGCCGGGACCTGCCAAGTTCGCAGAGGGCCAGAACCCAGGGAAGGCTCGGGTTGGGGCTGGGAGCTTTCCTGGCTGTGTGGCAGGGGAAGTCCCTGGTTGCGGGGTGTTGGCACCCCAACAGAAGGGATGGTGGACAGGGGGCACTCTGGCCCTCAGCTCAGGCGAGGCGGCTTTGTTCCGAGGACTCTGGCAGGCCCAGTTCGGGTGTGATTTTACACCAGGAGGTCAGTTGGTCCAGCCCAGCTTTGAGGGTGATGCACCTGGCGGGGAAGGGTGGACGCCTCAGATGACCAGAGCTGTTGCGAGGGGCGGGAGATCACCCAAGCTGGCCAGCTCAAGGCAGTTCTGGGACCCAGATTTCAATGGAGCTCTGTTTTTCCTGGGAACTGTTCTTACCTATATATATATATATATAAAGCCTGAGTGCAAAGGGATGGCGGTGATGTTTTCCGTTAAAAAAAAAGAAAAAGCAAACGTAACAAAGCCATGTGCGTGGCCTCTGTGACGTTGGGCCGTAGTCACTGTTGCAGGCATTCAGGCCTCAGTTTCTCTCATCTTTAAGGAGGTTTGACCGTTTAGACCTTGTTCCGTCTGCCACTCGGGTTGTGAGGATCACGTGGGACGGGGCTCGGAACTCGCTGTGTAAGGGACGAGATGCTTGCTACACACGCACACGAGATGCTATCCCTGCTACCTTAGCAAAAATCTTCACTGCGAGTCGTTGCTTTCTGAAAATGTTTCGTGATATCTGGCACTGACTGAACACTTGGGGTGCTTTTGTTGATTCGAACTGTATCAAAAACCCTGTGCAGTGATAGGAGCTGGGTGTGGGCTGAGTGTGGGGAGAGTCTGGACAAGATACGGAGCATCCTGGTGCCCTCAAGGCCTTCGATCCTGCTAGCAAGATGGCCCCCAGTTTGGAGGACTGGACTTGATGGTTTGTAGACCCTCCTTCTACTGGCGTGTTTACCGAGAGCCCGGGCACGTTCATCCCAGGTTTCACGGGTCTGTCTGCAGCCTCACCCAGCCTGGCTTGGGTAGTGATTTTTGGGGCCTGAACCCCAGCCTGACCGCCTCTCCTGAGGGATCAGGCTTATCCGGCTTCGGAGATACAGGACAGAGAACATGCCCGGCCCGGGACCCCAGCCGCGCTGCCCAAAGCTGGCCAGGCCGCTTTGGTCCTGACTACGCCGAATGAGGTCAGCTTGGTTTCCCATTCACAAAACACAATTTTTTTTTTAAATTGCAGGGAAAGTTTTTCTGTATCTGAGGTTGGTCCTTCATGCCTACAGCAGGTTATGTTTTCACTGGCTTTTGGTGTTTGCACATGTGTCGTGATAGGAGTGATCCCCAAAAGAATACAGGTAGGGCCTGCCCTTCATCGGGGCTCGGCGCTGGCCACCAGGACCTCAGGGGAGCCCCCAAGCTGTAAGAGCCGTGAAACCTATGTCCCTACACGCACACGTACATGTGGACACACACACATACATGGGAGTCCACGCACACGCACGCACATGCACACATCCCAGGATATTATCTTCATGCTGCCAACGTTTTAATGTTCTAATATTCAAGTTTGAGGCACCGACAGGCTGTCTTGAAAGGCTCGTTCAGCCTGTCTGCCTTGGAGCTATTTTATTTATAAGTCTTCTTGTCACGTCAAAGAGCTCTGTGTTTCTCGTAGGCTGTGTTCGGGTGGTTGAGTGTTTTGGCTTTTGGCTACAGCTGGTTAATTTTTCCGAATCTGTAGATCCAGGTGTGCGCTGAGAAGTTTTTTCCCAGCGCAAGAAGTTTCCCGGTGAGCCTTGGGGTCCTCCTTGAAATCTCCGCGTCCTGTGTGTGTGTGAGAGACTGCCAATTTCAGAGTTGTGAGTGAGAGGAGGAGGTGGCTGTGCCTGTGTCCACTGCCTCCCCTCAGACACTGAGTCTGGGAAGGACTTTGGAAGCAGGATCTTGTAGCTTGTTTAGAACACAGAGCTGAAAAAACGGGTGAATGGCTGAAACGTTAGCAACTACATTGATGGTAGCTGAAAATCCCTCTCTCTGAACATCGTTGGAAGCCAAGCACAGCCGTGAAAATGCTTGTCCACGTCTCTGGTTATTTTCAAATACATCTAAAAAATGTGTTCATCATGTAGAAATTATTTAGACCCTTATTTTCAAGTCTAACGTCGTCCACTGTCTGATTGCTTACATGACCTCTTTCTTTTGGTTAAAAAAAAAAGCAATGAACTTCATGTTTCTTTAAAATTAGGAATTACACCAAAAGTTGCTCTATAAATAGCAAGAAACAAAACAGAACAAAAGCGTTGGCTTTCTTTTTTAGTACTTTATTTTGCAGCCATTAAATATTATCTTGTCTTGCAGTGATAAATTTTTTTAGTGATAAATTTAGTGATTTTTTAGGGATAAATTTTTTCACTTTTTATAGAAAGGGCATATATGAAAAATCCAACCTTAACCTTATCTTTCTGTTAACCAGATCTAAAAACTATAATATTTATACATTGTCAGGAAAATGAAACTGTCATTATGCATAAAGTGAAGTACTTGTATTGTGTGAAATCATGTTAGAGTTTTTTAAAAAATAAAATGGGAGTATTTCAATAAATAAGACCAGTGTGGTCAAATTTCAAACAATTTGTAATTGACACTCCCATTCCCTAAAAAGTCCTCCTTTCTGTATGGATTCATTTTGCAGGCAGTTTAGGTCTTGTTGCAGTCATTTTAAAGATGTAATCTGTGAAATCTTTATTTAAAAAACAAGTTCCTGCTATGCCTTGCAATTTAGCAGTGAACCATCTGAATTCTAAATCAGGGTTTTTTCTTTTCTTTTTTTCTTTAATCTAGAGGGGTTATAATTTATCTAGCTCACTGAAGGACTAAGAAATGATATTAAAATTCCCATTTTGTCTGTGGGAAAGAAAAAAAAGTCCATACTGATCTTCATTAGCATTTCAGCATTATTTAAACTAAAAAAAAAAATAAACATTTGACAGTTTTAAAAGTTGCTTTCAATTCTTAATTGCTAAATTCTGCTTAGATATAATTTTAAAAGAATAATGACTAATAATGACTATCAGACTCCTATAAAGGATTGATAAGATATAAAAAATACTTCCAAAAAATCGATACTTTTCAACTGTGAAAGGAAGGCATTCCTTGAAAACTGAGGGAGTGAAATTCTTTTCAGATTTTCTGATGTCTTTTAGTTTTTGTGGAAATTAGTACCTCCTTCTACCAGAAACTGTTACAGTTCAAATTCCAATATATCTTTAATTGTTAAAAAAAAATTGCTATGAACTGCACAATAAATTCTTTAGAAAAAAGTCAATTTTCAAATTTATGATGATTCCATTTTAGAAATTGCAGAATTGAGCAACCTAAATACATAAATTCATCACCCACATCTTTTTGAAAGGTAATTTTGATGTTTTAAAAAATTTAGTTTGTACTGTGCTTTTCTCATTCCTTGTATGAAGCCAGGAATATAGCTTTGGCATTTGATACATGCATATATAACCAGGGATACTGGCCCATCTTCTTTAATTCGTATTTTCTGATTTGTGCTTCTTGCTATTTTGCAATGGAAAATATGCATTGTAGTTCCTCATTGGTAAGGGGAAATTTCTCATACTAACACATATGTATTTTATACAGTATATTCACATATTTATATCCATGATCGAACACACATTTATTTTAGGCTTCTAGTTGTTGGATGTTCTCCTTTTAATTGAAAAATATTAACTCCTTAAAGAATGCCCTCAGGGTTAATAGACTCTTTTGATATACACACACAGGTAACATTATGGAACATGAACGTGTCCAAAGTGTGTTTAATACGATAAAACGGCCACTCACAGAAGGTTTCTAACCAGACAGGTGACTGCGTGGTGTGGCGCTCCACCCGCCAGCCCGCTCATCACTGTCAGAAGCGGGCTCACTGAGTCTGTTCTTTGCATGTGTGTATTTTTTTTAAAGAGAGAAAACACAGGAATGCCCTGCCAGCATGCTCTTTTTGTGGGGCCGAGGGTTGGCTACCGATGCAGTGTCCTGCCCTGTGCCTTCTCCCTCAGATGTGCTGTCCCGTGGCCAGAGCTTCCTTTCTGTTGTTCTTTAACTCAAAACCAAGCGACCTAAAGCAAAAGGTTCTGAAAAACGCTTCTTTACCTTTGGAAGGAAAGAATCCTTTCTATGGATAACGTGCTCACTTTTCCTTAACTACCCTGAGACTGTAGAAACTGTTTTACTCACCTGAAGGCGTCTGTCCCCTCTCTCTAAGAAAAAAAAAAAAGCTTACCCAAGGTAAATGGATGCTAATAGGTTTGTGGGTAAATGATTGAGAGTTAAAATGAAGGCTTCAGAAAGCAAGTGTACAAATTAGATGGAAATAGAAATAGATGGATCAAAATGGAATCCCAAACCTACAAACTCCTTCGTGACAAAGGCAAAAGGGAAAAATAAAATCGTGAGCCTGGGCTGCTTTTCCGCACGGTACCCACGCTCTGCAGAGGCTGCTCAAAAGGACACTTTGTCTGGGATGACGGAAAGGGTGGCATCTTACCCACGAGCTGCCTCAAACTGGCCACCTCCGGCTTACTGGGCTAGGTTTTAAAGCGTCAGAGTCTTGGGGTGGGCAAGTCGAATGTCTAAAACCCAAGTGAACATGTAAGTTTTCACTCACACTCCATTCTGCTTACTTTAATTAGATTAAATGCATCTGTTTACCAAGTCCTCCTAATGCTTTGGACAGCGAAAATTTTAAACTATTAAACGTTGCTAGGTTAAGAACAGGGAAACTAAACTCAAGTGCCCCGGCCTTGTGAGGCTGGACTGTGGCCGAAAGCTGTGCTGGGGCACAGCAGGAAGTGGCCGGCCTCATTCCCATTAGGCAAATCTTGGGAGAAATCAGGAAAAAATAACTGTATAAGGCTGATACTATAAACATCCTGGTATAGCGAGAGCCTTCCTATGACTTATTTTTCAAATATCTGACCGCGGGCATGGTGCGGCCCACAGGCAGAGACCAAGTTCTTCCTCCAAGAAAGCTGTTCATCAGAATATTCGTCCAACAAAGTCAATTTCCATGTTTCTTTTTTGCTGATGTGAGCGCCCTTTAAAAAATTTATTTACTTTGAACAATACAATATGATAGCGAGTTGGAAAAAGACTTTACAAACCTGAAACATGAAAAATACCCAACAGAACAACCTGAGTGCTATTATTTCTCTTACGTAAAGCAGAATTTGATTTCTGAATTTGCAACCAAATTATGTGTAAATCCTTGCCAAGTATAGAGAGGATAAAAAAGTGTGTGTTCTTGAATATTATTCTGACTCACCCAATTTCTTGTTTTACCAAATAAAAATTGGGAGGAGGAAAAAGGCATTAAATTAACTTATTACTGTGTGTGAGAGCAAGAAAAAAAAAATCAGCTAATAAAAAGGTTAGCAAGCCAGTACGATTATACAGTGATTTCAGGTGAAAATTACAAAGCTAATATCTTGGCATTTAGTCATTGCCTTCATAATGATACAGTTGTCAAATCGGTATTTGTGCCAATGGAACAAGAGTTGTAAGTGGCATAATGGAAGATAATCTTTTTCTTTGTGGCTTTTTAAATTCAGTGTTTTAATCCACCCATTTAATCACACAACATATATCACATTAGTTATAATATTTATAGTGTTTAGGAAAGTGATTATAAATAGATTATAGTGTGGTGGTTGAATGTATTGGTTGTAGTATTTGTCTCTGTGTGTGTGTGTGTGTGTGTGTGTGTGTGTGTGTGTGTATGTGAATTTATCTCAAAGGTATGAAGCCTTTCTGGAGTTTGCACTTGGGAATGGTTTTCCGTGAGAAGAGTCACCAGATATTTATTTTCAAAATCTCCATTTGGTCCTTACCAAGCTTGCTCATTATTTTGGAAAAACACAGATTTGGTATTAAAAGGGCCCGGTACATCCAGTGTTTAGATCTCTGCATCCAGCCTGGTCTCTGAGGCATTTCTGTTGTTCTAGAGTCCCCAAAGTTGCTAAACCACAAAATGTCTTTAATATGTTTTTTATAAAGTAGTTGAACCATACAGTAAAGATGGGGAAAGGGGGAATTTATAATGGCAGTTAGTGGTTGGGTTCTTCCTTGGTGTGGCCAGAGTAGGAGGGGGTGACGGCAGGGTCTGTGTGGCTTGGGGGGGCCGCCCTGCAGTACTCATCTCGTGGGAATGTGTCCTCTTCCCCCATATGTCCTGGTCGGGGCTGGGAACTGTCTTAGTGGAGAAATTATAAAGGACTGCGCTAAGGAGAGATTGGTTTTTCCTGCCGTCTTGTTGGAACGTGTGGCTACGGCTGCTGAGAGTCCTTTTCTGAGGAAGGAGAGCACAGAATTCCTGGGCTTCCCAAGGGGACCCCACAGCCCTGGAAGCTGGGAAGGGTCACCCCGGACCTTCCACGGGGCAGGAGCGAAACCCACCCCATCGTGGGACCACCCCAGCTTGGGCCCTCTCGCTTGGTGTCAGCAGCCGTAGAAAGTGAAAGTTGCTCAGGGTTTCGGTGAAAAGATTAACCAGAAAACACTTCCACTCCTGCCTCTAAAACGGAATTTTCTCATGGCCGGGGTTGGGGGGTGGGCTGGGAGGGGGGTGGAAAGTCTGTCCCTACAAAGAAGGGGCCACTAGGAAGATTCTAACACACAGGAAAGTAATTTTGGAAGATTTCTTAATCCATCCTATTTCCCTCCCTCCTTCCCTTCCTCCTCCCCACATCGTATATGTCATAGACGGTGGTGGCAGTCATGTGTGTGTGTGTGTGTGTGTGTGTGTGTGTGTGTGTGTCTAGCACGATTCAACGCCACGGTCAGGGTGGGCCTCGGGAGCCTCCAAGGTGGGTCAGTGGGCAAGGGAGGCCCTGGCCTGAGCTGCTCCGGCTGTCCCAGCCCAGCCTGGCACCATGGTGGGTACCCCCTGCCTGGGCAGTCCAGTGTGGAATGAAGTTTCCTGGGAAGCCGGGCGCACGAGGAACTTTTGAATTTACCAATGGCATAAAAAGTATATATATTTTTATGACAACGGGCAAGTTTCAATTGGTTGACAGAGATGGCGAGATGTGACGTCAAGGGACACTGGTTAGAATGCCAAGGCCGGCTGCGGGGGCGGGGGGGGGGAGACAGGCACAGAGAGACACTGGGATGGGGCCCAGGAGGCCTCGTTTCTCTCGGGCCCCTGTCGCGGGCACTGGGGACAACCAGGTCCATTTGGCTCTGAGACAGGGCATGCCCCGGTAGGGGGATGGGGTCCAGGCAGGGCGACCCCGTGTCGGCGTCCCCAAGCGCCAGGAATCACTCAGGCGCCCCTACGAGCAGGCAAAAAAAAAAGCTGTGGCCTTCTTGTCATTCTAACCAGGGGCCGGACCCTGGAGCCCCGGCCCGCTTGCGACTGCGGGCAGGAACCGCGCGGCCCGGGGACAGCAGCGTCGTCGTCCGGCCCCCAGATAGCAAAGCTGCGGCCTAGAACTTCTCCCCGCAGCTCCTGCGCCCTGGGCCGGGGGGTGAGGGGGTGGCAGGAAGTTGTTTCTGCGGGGAAGGAAGAGAGAGAGGTTGGAACTGGGCAGCGGCTCCGGGCACGGTGCCCCCGCCCATTCCATGCTTTCCCCGGGCACCATGAGGGCTCCCCTGTGCCAGGCACCTTGCGGCCCCCATCTCTGGGCACAGCGCGCTGCCCCCTCCGTTGCACCAGGTCCCCTGCACTCCGTCTCCCACCCCACTGGACCCCGCGCCCCTCCCGCAGCCCCGCAGGCAGGATCGGGACAAGCCGCCGCAGGCTCCTCCTGGTGCGCACCGTGCCCTGGGGGAAGCCCGCTGCCACCCGCGATCCCAAGCCCTGTCCTGGAGCTTCGTTTAGAGCTCCGCGGCGAGCCCTAGCCTCGCAGGGAGGAGGCCGGAGGTCTAGCCGCCACTCCGCCGCTCGCGCTGGGCTGCGGTCAGGCCAGGGACCGTCGGTCCACCCCGGGTCCCCAAGCCGGGCCCGAGCGTGCGCGCGCGCGCTCCGCTGCCCGCAATCATGGCAGCCGGCGCCTCGGAGCGCAGCCGCCGAGCGCGCTCCGGCCGCCGCCTCGGTGCCAGGGCGGCGGGGGCGGGCTGGGACCCGGGCTTACGGGCCGCAGGGCGCGAAGCCGAAGGCTGATGAGTCCCCGCGGCGCGGTGCCCCCAGCCCCGCGGGACCGCGCGGGCGGGGAGCCCCCAGGGCGGCGTGCCCGCGGGGGCGCGCACGCGGGGCTGCGGGCGAGGCGCGGGGCCCGGGCGGCGAATCCGCGGCTCGCGCCTCCCGCCCCGCCCGCGCGCGCCGGGCCCGGGAGGAGGGTGCGCGGCGGAGGGGGAGTCGGGGAGGGGCCGGGCCGGGTCCTTGCCCGCAGCGGGCACGGCCGGGGGCCCCGGGAGGCCTTGTTGGTATTCCGGGCACAACCGAAGCCCTGATCTCCCCGCGGAACTGGGGCGCCCGGGAGCGCTGCACGGCCGCCGCCCCCGGGCGGTCTCCCCCAGGCTGCGGGGCCGTAGGCGCCTCGCTCCCCCCGCCCCTCCCCTCCTCTCCAGGTCCCCCGGACCCCCTCCCCCGCCCTGATCCGGCGGCGAAGGGGTGGGCAGGGAAACGCGCTCTCTGGGACAGGTGCCAACTCCGAGACAAAAGACATAAAATAGGCGGCAACGGGGGAAGCGCGGCCGGCGCGCTCGGGCGGGGACGGAGGCGCCGCGGGGGCCGCATCCTCGGTGCTGATCGGGGAAAGTTTGGGAAGTCGCCTCGGCGGCTTCGCGGCGGCGGGGGACACGCGGGCCGGGCCGCCCTCCGCGCCGCTGCTGAATAATTCATGGCGCGGCCGCCGGCCATTAGCATGCACCGGGCGCGCGGCGCGTCTGTGCCCAGTCGCCGCCGCCGCCGCCGCGGCATTCGGCGCCCCGGCAGCGCTCGATGAGCGGCCGCGCGGAGGCCGAGCCCGCGCTGTCCCCGCGCTCGCCCGCTGGTCCGCCGGCCGGCCGGCTCCCATTGTGCCCCGGGCCTGCGCCCCGGGCCGTCCGGTGACCGCCCGCACCCCGCAGCGCTCCCGACGGCCTGGCGCTGGAAGTTCGGGCCCACGGCGCCCGCCCGCCCGCCCCGGGATGCATGTGAACTTAGAGAAAGTCGCGGGGCGCGCTGGCGCGGACCTCCGCGGCAGGGCGTGGGCGCCCCCGGCCCCGCGCGCTTTCGTTTTCGCCCCGGACAAAGGTCCCTCGCGGCGCAGGTCGCGGACGTGGAGACCGTGTCCTGCGGGTCACTCTGCGGGTTGGTCCGATCGTTCAACCCGGGGAAGCTGGAGCGAGAAGAGAACGAGCGGCGCGGTCGGAGGCGCGGTGCGGGACCCCGGGGAGTGGGGCCTGGCGTGCGCTTCGTCCGCGCCGTCCCGGAGCTGTCCTGACCTGGGAAGAGTTGTGGGAGATGGCACTGCTTTGCTCTCTGCCCCTTTTGCCGCGTTAAGGGGAGAATCATTTTGGAAGCCAGGACTCGGACCGATGGGCCGGGGCCTGTGCAGCCGTGGGCGCGATAGCGCAGCGCCGGCTGCGTCCGAGAGCGATCCTCCGGCAAGGGCAGAGCTGCCGACCAGCGCGCCCCAGGCTCGATCGGGTTCAAGGCGACTCTTGAGGACGGTAAGTGCATTTCTCACTTTCGCTACTTAGTGAATATTTAAATATTGATGAAGGGATTTCTAAGAAGAGCCCTTTTGTAGGGCAGGCCTTCCGCAGACCCGGGACCGGGAAGGAAGGTTGATCTTGGACCCGAAGCCGCACCAGCCTGCAGTAGTAACTCCATGGCCGTCATTAAAATTCTGGAACTTGGAATTTGTGAAATACAGCTTTTAATCTCAGATGTGTGCCGGCCATTTGCCAGAGAGAATTTGGTCGAACACGCCAAATAGCAGGCCTCCTAAATAGAACAGGAGGAAAAGAGAAAACAACAGTTTTTAGATCAGATGTGTTCCGAAAGGTTGTTTGGAAGCCACAGTCCTTTCTTGAAAAACTGAAATCTTTCATTCACTTCCTAAACCATCAGTGCTGCTTCTTATTTTTTTTTTTTTTTTCCTGCTGGTCAGGCATTTATGGAGAGCTGGTCTAGGGCGGCCCTGGGTCAAGGACTGGCTGCTCTGGCCCTTTGAGTGAAAGCCCCATGTGTGGATGCTGTTGTTTATGGTGGCATAAAACAAAAACAACTCATAACTTTTCATAATAAATCCCTCTTTATAGATGGGTCACACACGGGCCCAGCCCGCAGCCCTGGGGAATCTGTGGGGAGCAAGAAAGGGGTGAAGGAATGCATGTTTGCCGTAATTACAGGGTTTTAAGGTAACGCTGAAATTAATTTCTTCAAAGTTGGGCTTCAGAGGCCACAGCAGTCTCTGTAGGCCAGCACCATGTTCATTTTATTTTAGTTCGTTGGTTTTTGCTGTTTGGGATTTTTAAAAAGCACGTTTGTACTTGCATGTTACCTACCCTGTTAAAATGAAACTCATAACTGGGAGATTAAACCCGCTTTTTAATATGATCGTATCACAGGTGCGATTTCCCCTCGACTCTGCCTCATCTTATTGATGTGGCTTGGACAACCTTGCGGGGTGCTTTGACCACAAAATAATGGGGAGGGGGGGCCTGTTTCCATAACACCCCAGAGCTGTGAGCTGGCACTCGGAGGCCGTGTTTCCGGGAATGTGGACAGAGGCCTGGGTAGCCCAGGCCTGCCTCATGCCTCCCTCTCCCAGGGCTGCCTGGTTTCCAGAACCGAGAGGAGAACCCAGAGGAACGGGAGACGGTTTCAGTAAGGTCTGCCCACCTGGCCCCGAGGCCGAGGGTGTGCTTCTGTGAGCTGCCGTAGGGCCATCCTCGCCATCTTTTTAGCTAGGCCATCGCCCCTTACCCCAGTCTCCTGTTTTGAATTTGTCTTTATGACTTTATCAGAGGCAGTTAGCAGACTTGAAACGCAGGGAGGGGCACTGGGGAGTGATCTCAGAAACGGAGGGCGGCTTGCCCCTCCGGCCGGGAGCGGACGCTGGCCATGGTGTTGGCAGAGACGGGTTAGTAATTACAAAAAGCCCAGGTTCCACTGGGGCCTTGCCTGTAAAATGCAGGAGACATTTCCCTGGGTCCATAGATGACCCGTAGTGTAGCGCACGATGGGCAGGCATGGTGTGGCATTCTGCTCAGACTGTTGGGCATCCCCCCAGGGTTAAAGCAGATCGCAACACAAGGGGCGTTGGTTGCTCCCTCTCTGAGAGCCCATGGGCCAGGCCCCAGGAGCAGGGAGAGGCCTGAGCATCCGAGGAGGCACCCCAAGGGCCACTCAGCGGGGGGCTACTGTTCATCAGGCTCCAGAGGCCCAGCGCCCGCCCACGTGTGCCCCTGGCACAGGGGATGCACTGGGGCTGAGAGGTCGCAGCCAGGAGCCAGGCCGGCTCTGTGGAGGGAGGCCCTGCCTCGGCACCATGCCGTCCTGTCCTGCCTTTGTCCTTGTCCTTAGGGCCAGCCTGATACCCTGGAGACTCCTCGTGGAGACCCGAGTCTCGGCCAGGGGCTTCTCACCACGCGGGGAGGTCTTCTCACCACGCGGGGAGGTCTCATCTGGAGAAAATGCATTTTTGAGGATGTGCACGTGACACAAAGTTCGGAAAATGAAACTGGCGCCTGCCTGATTTTTCTCAGTGGGTTTAGGGGGAAGAATGTGCTAAGCAGGGGACAGGGTCTTATGGACTGTAGCGGGCTGGCGGGAGGGTGGCCCTGGCGCTCTTGTATTTTGTTTACAACCAGGGCCAGGGCCAGGCCCAGGGTGCCCCCTGGACTGCACTGAGTCTTTGCCATGCCCCGCCTCTGGCCACTTGAGGCCCCCCGATTCTGGCCTGGGGGGTCTCCAGGGTGCGGGTGGGGCTGGCTGCCCAGTACGGGCAGTGGTGGTGACTAGCCCCCGCCCACAGTCAGGTCTCCCCTGCCCCCTAAACAGGTACAGACAGCATCTTGCTCTGCTCAGCGGGACCAGCGGGGAGCTTTGCCACAGGGGGGATGTTCGGGTCCCTGGAGTTTGCACCCAGCTGTGGCCAATGCCGTGAACGGGTCTCACTTGCTCCCATCTTCATCCCGGCGTGGACAAGGCCTGACGGGAAGGCGGCTGGTGGGTCCCAGGGAGGGGCTCAAGGGCTCTGCCCACCCTGATGGGCTCTCTGCCTGGGTGGGTGGGTGTTCCCTGGTGTCCAGGGCGACCGACGTGTGCCCTCGGTGAGGGACAGCGCTCGGGGAAGGCAGGCAGCCCCATGAACCAGGCAAGGAAACATCTTAAAACCATCACGCCTGGCTGTTCTTAGGCTGGAAGGGCGTTTCTGCGTGTTTAGGGAGCACAGAGCTACCCCTGCAGTAATCCTGCCAAATGCGGGTTTCCTAGCTCACGGCCAGGCCGCTCCAATCCAGCCCCCTGCCCTTGGCTCGCCGTGGGATCCTGGACAAGTCCTGTCCCCTCCTGGGATTGCAGCCCACACTCTCCAGCAGGAATAAGAGCCCGGACCTCGGAGGGTCCTTGGGAAGGTTCAGACGAGGTTATTTCCACAAACCCCAGTAGGGGCACGTGACAGGGACGCCATAAATGGCTGTCGTTGTAATTGTTTTCGTTGTAAATGGTAATCGCCATTTTTATTGCTAGTTGTTATCATATTTTTGAGCTTCTAAGAAACAGGGAAGCTAGTTTTGGTTTCATTGGAAAGGACACCTGGGCATTCACGACACACCACCTCTCCCCCAGCCCTGCCCAGGTGGCAGTGAAAATGAACCTTGGTGTTTTCAAGGTAGACGCCCAGGTGCTTCCAAGCCAGCGCTCTCCTTGTCGTGGGGACTTGGCTTAGGCACGTGCTCACGGAGGAGGTGCCCCGTCCTAAGCACCTTTTGGGAGTGGAACCTCCTCAAGGATGGCACTCACCTGGGAGCCGCCCTCGGGGGCTGACCAGGGAGAGACAAGGGCAAGAGGTCCTGACCCAGGCATCCAGAGTGCCCACACCAGCCGCTGGCATCCTTGCCTGCAATTCAGGTTGGCAGTTTGATGGGGCTTCATCACTCTTGACAGGCTAATTGTTCTTTGACCCCATACGAATGTGCCTTTACCAAGATGCTTGCTTTAAGAGAGCTTTATCTCTTAGCTGATCATCCGGGAAGACCCAGCAAGATTGCCCTTTCTGGAAACATCTTGTCGGAGCAAGAAAGAACCCCAGATGGCATCGGCCCTGCTTGCTGATGTTACGGAGTCGAGGAGAGAGAAAAAGCAACAATTGTCTCCGAGCAAAGACAATGGACCTTTTATATGAAATATTTATTTTCAGGGCCGACCGGTGTCCTGGTGGCTCGGCATCGCAGGCCCTGAGAACTCAGGGACGAGATGTACAGAAAAGGAAAAAAAAAAAAGAGAGTCCCCTGACCTGTGATTCTTGGGGAATTTCAGTGGGAATGCCTGGCTTTCTTTATTGAGTGGAGTTTAAACTTTCACAAGTTTATTTTCTCTCCCTCTGTGATTTCTTCTGAATGGCTGCTTGCAGGGGCATGTTGGCACACAGCGGAAAGGTAGCCAGGTTTTGGACCGTGGGCTGGACGGAGCCTTGCTGGGGCCAGGCCTGGCTGGCTGTTGTCTGCTGGGGGGGTGGGTCACAGGACGGAAGTGGGCTGGAGGAAGAAGGGTCCTCACGGGGGTGGGGTGAAAGGAAAGCCACCGCGAGCCAGTCTTGGACAGTATTTGTGATTCTCCGGCGTCCCTTACTCCTCCCCAAATAGCGTTGTCCGAAGAACTTGGAATCTGCCAGCAGCTTATCAGAGAGTCTGGCCTGAGTTGGCGAAGCCACACATGGGCCCTCAACACCCTCCCTGGCTGGACGGGCCTGGCCAGGGTTCCTGCTGGATGGACGTTCTCTGAGCTAAGCGAAGGAGCAGGCTTTTACTCGGAGGCCTGCTCTCAAGCCACTCACCCTTCCCTGCCTTGAGGCTCAAGTGGGGCTCACGTTCCTGACCCAGGTTCCTGATCAAGGTCTAGCTTCGCTGCAGCTAGGAAGGCACCCTGGGACACAAGGCCCGGATCCCAGGCTCACATTAGGGACCCCGGGAGGAATGGATCAGGCTGGGGCTTGTGACGGGAGCATTGAGGCGCCAGTCTTGCTGGTGTTGGGTGTGGGGGGCGTTGGCAGGCCGTGGTGGGCCATCGGCCGAGACCCCTACTGGCTTAAAGGGTCCTCGGTCTGGTGGGTGGAGGGCAGGAGAGGGAGTGGCCCCCATCAGGGTAAGCGGTGGGGTTTCCTCTTTACCCAAAAGACTGTTGGCAAATTATATTATCTGGCTTCAAAAGTGAGTTTTCTTTTTTCTTTTTTAAAAACCAAAACCTGCTGTTGCATCTTTCTTAAAAAAAAAAATCCTGGAACCTCTTAACTGGGGTCTATTTCACCTTCTGCATTAACCCCCTCCCTCCAAAAAACAATATAATGAAGAGAGCTCTCTTGGGGCGGGAGGTGGGGGCGGGGGCACCTATAACAGGCTCCGAGCCTGTGCTTGGAGTTGATAAAATTAAAATGGAAGAGACTGAAACCCTTCTCATGAGGCAGGACAACTGGAAAACACAGAGTTCATTTACTTTTTTTTTTTTTTTTGGAGAGGAGTTTTGCAAGTAAAAGGCTGCAAATTCTTCCTGTGAAATTTTGGACAGAATTTTATTGTTTCAAGACTCTGGATTCAGAAGTCTTGCCTTTAGGGATGGCTCAGAAATCCTGTGGATGGGTAAATCGGCTGGCCGGGCCCACTGCTGTGCATCAGTGGCTAAGAGGTTTTCTGAGCAGAGATGTGGCCAGCAGAGGCGATGGTTGTTGTCGCTAAATGAGCCTGGCAGTTCTGGTTAGAAAATGTGTGCCTGGGACTTACAGAGCAAAGCCCAAATTTTCTTTCTCTGTTTTTGGAGTAATAGAATTTCCCCTTAAGATGGGGGTTGGGGGCGTGAGAAGCATGTTGTCTCTGCTGCCTCCGTTTTGTAATGCTGGGGCTAGGTTTTTCGGTGAATCACCCTTCTTTTAATTCTAGGATTTGAGACGGTTAGGAAGTTTAGCTGATATATTACCTGCTGATTTGGGGCTCTTAAATCTAGATTTGCCTTTCATGTGTTTAAAAGCGATATTTACATTCAAATCAGCCTTTCATAATTACATTTTAAATTATAATGAAATGATGGAGCCGGGGCTTCAGTCTTCCACATGTTTTAACTGTAAGAGATGCTCTGGCGGGCTGCATATCACGTCACAGCCCTGGGCTCCACGCAGGCGTGAGCAGGCATCGGACATGCAGGTGTTGGCCTGCAGGGCCCACATGTGTCCTGAACATGTCAGAGGACGTGCATGTCACCTGCCGGGCCCTCCCCATGCTCCTGGGAGAAGGGCTTGTGGATAATTCTGACCCCAGCATGGCAGCGATGTTGCCAAACCTTGTGGCATTGGGCTCTCTCCCGGAAGGGCCTGGTTTGGGCCTGGCTGCTCTCTTGGGTCTCGAGCCCCACGCGGACCCGCAGGCCTTGGGGACGGAGGCCTTGATCTCCTGGGTGGCCAGCTGGGCACCTCTGGGGTGCTGTGTGTGCCAGGTGGGGGAGGGGCGCCCTGACCCGGGGTCTGCCTCCTCTCCCTTGTTGGGGCGCCCCCCCCGCCCCCGATCGCCTACAGTTTTCCGTGGCTTCCCCCACGGAGCATGGGGGACTCTCTCCTCCTGGGCCCAGGCTGTTGGCAGCCGTGCCACGCGGTTCCTGGAATGGAATTCCCGGCGTTCCTGGTCAGGCGCGTGGCATTGGAATCCTACCTGCTTTGTCTCTGGCATCAGCTGGTGAGCTAGTCACGTGGCCATGTGCGTGAGCCCGGAGCCCGAGGACCGGCGGACTCCTCCCGCCGCTCCCTTCTCCCTCGCTGCCCCGCTTGTGCCTGTGTTCCGGGCACGGTCTCTGTGCAGCCGTTAAGCAGTGTTGAACCAAAACACACTCCAGGCAGCCAGGGTGCAGCGGGAGCTCCGTCCTCGGAAAGGCCTGGAACCCGGGGAAGCTGCCCCGGGGGCCCCAGAGCAAACTCCGGCCGTGGCGGCCCAGCCTGGGTCCGCGCACACCGTTCCTTCTGCCCCAGAGCTGGCTCTGCTTGCCTGGGGACCCTGCCCACATGCACAGCCCGGAGGCCAACCCTGCAGGGGGACAGCCCGGTGGTCATCGTCTCAGTTCCGGGCCATGGAAAGGTCCAAAGGAGAGACCTGGGCGGACCAGCCGTCCACGCGGCACAGCCTGGTGCCCGCAGAAGAGGCCCGCCGGGTCTGATAAATCTCCAGGTGGAAGCGCCCCTGTTAGAGCCTCAGGCCCACTGACCCGGCGCGGTGGCCGTTCCTCTTAGTGCTGGATTTGCCTGGGTGAGACCGGTGGGTTGTGACGGTCTGGGTGGGGTGTGGTGACAGGCCCTCATCGTGGCCAGGCTGAGCATTCCTCACTGTGACATCACGGCAGCCCAGAGTGGCTGGGGTCCACGGGGTACCGATGGGGAAACTGAGGCTGAGTGAGGTGGCGTGGCCGCTAGGACTCGGGGCTGGGTTCAGGGTGGTGGTGCGGCTCTCAGCCTGGACGGCGCAGCCTCTGGGGGCATCGGCTAGAGGGGGCTTGCTCTGGGGGGCCCCCGGAGAGCCTGGCCGGGGTGCTGGCTGCCCCTACCCCTGGCTGGGCCCAGGGCGGGAACAATGCGGCCTCTATCCCCCGAGCTGGCCAGCCAGGCGGGCTGCCCGCAACATGGCGCCCGGGGCCGCGCCGCCTGTCCACGGGGAGGGCTGGCGCCTGGACCAGCCCGGCCCCCCGCGTCCTCCCCGGGCCGGCTACGGAGTGGCCAGACGCTGCGGCTGCCTCCGCCCTCTCCCGCTGGGCCGGCCTCCGGCGATGGGTTTGGGGGTCCGGCCCACCCGCCTCTGCCACGTCTGCCACCCTCCCAGCACCCACGAGCATCTTTCAAAAATTCCCGGTGGGCGGGGCCGAGCCGCAGCGGCCGCCTCTGGCCCCCCCTCCCCGGCAGCTAGTGCCAGATGAGAGCAGGAGACAAAAGTAGCATTTTCCTCGTCCTCCTGGGCTGGCAGCGGGGCCTCCCCAGCGCCCCTTGGCTCCCGGCGGCCCTGCCTCTGGGCTGCCGAGGCGGCCGAGGCCCCAGCCACGCCGGCCGGGACCGAGGGGACCGGTGGACAGTGGCGGCCGCAGACGAGGCGCCCGAGGGCCCGTCGCCCAGAGGGCTGGCACGGGGGGCTGGCCCCCCGGCCTGCGGGCCCGGCCCTCCTCTGCCTGCCGTGGTGCCTGGCCGGGGCGACGCCACCGCTTTCACTGCCTTGCTTTGGAGCAGCTCGCCGTCCTCCTGCGCCCGGTAAGTCTCCCTCCTCTTCAGTGCTCTCTGCGCTGGAGGCGAGCCGAGGGCTCTGCCATCTTGTGCCTCTTACGTTTGCCTCTCTCTAATTGGTTACCCGAAATTCAAAATTCTATTTCAGATCCCCACCCCCCCCCCAACCCCACCATCTTCAGTGAAGTAAGCCCTTCCAAAAACTGCAGGGAAGAGGCAGAAGCCAAACCCATTTATTTTTAAGATCCAAAGCTACAGGGTGTTCGAAATCACAATAAAAATGAATGTTTGTTATTTCACAGTAGCTGCATGTTCAATTATAATTTGAGTGAATGTTTTGGGAGGTATTAATAGGCACGGCCTTACTCTTCCATGCTCAGTTGTACCGGTTTTATTTTTATTTTTTTGGAGGGGGGAGATCTCATTATTGTTGTGATTATTGTTTTAATTTTCGGCCAAACCAGGAGTGGCAAAGGGAAAAAACACCAGAAACATCCACGGTCTCCCCAGCCAACTCCTCGGCAGGCAGGGCCAGGCGGGCACACGGGAGGCTGGATTCTGCCTTGAGAAACAGAGGCCCTTTCATTTTGTCCGGTGTCTTTAATGCTGCCATATCCACAGTTTAGCGATCCAGTTTCTTTCTCCTTTTTATTTTATTTTATTTTTGGGGAGGGCAAGAAAAGGAAGGTGTTTTCAGCTTTCAGCTTAGTGTGGGCAGATTTTTTTAGGTTGTTTTGGGCTTTGTTTTTTTAAGCACTTCTTTAAGCCAGGGGTTCCAGCTAACATTGCTATGCCGGCTCCTATCCAGCCTGCCCGTGGACGGCTCGTGGGGTGCACGTGGGCCCGCCCGCCTGCTCGACCCTCTGGGGCCCTGAGTGGTCCCGGGACCTGCCTGTGCCCCGACCCCGCCCTGGCTGCCGACTGGCAGAGCCGTGACTGAGACATCCCAACCATCCGGGCTCTGAGCCCTGTCCCCTGGGGTGGGGAGTGAGTCCCGGGAGACCTCCAAGCTCCGGGGCCACACTGCTCCTGCCCTGCGGTAGCTGGGTCCTGTGGCCGTCTGAGTCTTTCTGTTGGGCCCGGAACCTTTTCATTTAGAAGGTGGGCTTTGCCGAGTTCAGCTCTGAGCTCGCCTCCACCCTCTGGCAGGCTGACAAAAGCACCCGTAGACACGGCCTGGTTTCCCCACGTTGGAGGGGCAGCAGCCAGGGTCTTGATTTATGGAAAATGGAAAATCAGGCCCTGAAAGTTCTAAATTGCGACTGAGAGGAAAATTCCCACGTGAATGCGTTTTTGTTTTCCTGGTTCCGAGGCGTGGGGGTCCTGTTTGTGCAGGCCTGAGCAGCCGGCCGGAGCAGATACCACCAAACGCTGGAACGGAGCTCGGCACACGCGAGAAGTGTCTGCGGCTGCTTTTGTTCTGAGATCCGACAGCAGTCGCTCCTGGAGGATTTGGGGCTGCAGAGACAGGCGCATGGAGCAGAGATAATTAAAACATTTTCATGATTGTGACAGCCACATTCTGCTGCTGCAAGCTGGAAGATCATTCCACCCAAATATTTAGCAAGCACCAAATAAAACACTGGTGACAAAATAAAAGTAATAGGAAAAAAACAGTGTAACAAATTCTAGAGGCAAAAGAGTCCACAGTACAGAGAGGTTGGTTGGAGGGGTATGGAGAGGAAGGTTGATCATTTTTAAAGAATTTATACTTTTAATAGCTGCCCACTCCTCATTTTTTAAAAATTTTGCATGATAAAATTATAATTTTCTTGTGATTAACATAGATGAATAGGCCTTTAATTCTAAATCCTGGAGTGATAGTCAAATTTCCTGAGCGTTAACTCATCTTCTTTTTGGACAAGGTAGCACAAGTAGCATAAAATCAATTAATTTTCATAAATGAGCATTTTCATTCTAAATTAGTATTTTCCACCGAGATTATGTTCACCTAATGGTTTTAATGTATATGAATAACACATTTTCCAGCCTACACCTTGTATACTTGGGATAGTAATTTGTGATCAATTATCATCTTCATTTTTTAATTTGGGTAATAACACTGTACCTCTCCCAAATCAGTAAATTTCCACAGAATCTTTTTTTTGTTTTGTTTTAATCAGGCAAAAATACCAGCATTCTCCATGGCACCCAGTACTTCTCAGCAGTATTTTTTTTTTTTTTAAGAAAGTACCACACATAGCAGTTTTCACATCATCGCTTCTATATAAATTCCACTATAGACTGAAATTATACATTCTCACAGCACAGATGGGCTGGTCTGTCATTATGACTGCCGGGTCCTTGTTGGAACACACAGCATATTTCAATTGTGGAGTCGACAATTTCGAAGAACTGAGGTCAAAATAAACAAGTTGCCTTTGTACATCAAAGCAGTCTTATTAAATGATCTTCTGATCCCCTGAAACATTTGGTAGCAGAACAACCGTCACCTTATTAAAATTTAATTTAAAATTTGGACTTCATCTGCACCTTTTTTAGACTCCAAATACCCTATGTCAAAGGACCTCAGATGTTTTAATTAATTACCAGTTCTTATCTTTTTTTGCATCATGGACAGCCTGACAGTAATTTATATTAAAAATTAAGGGGTTTGGGACTTTTGATTTTACTATCTATATAGTTTCTGTAGGAAAGAAACCTTTCACTGTTCTATGTAGACATTCATAAAAATTATTTTGAAAAGCTTCTGAAAAACCAGATGATAAATATTTCACTTGGTCTAAAGATACATCTAAATCCAAGCTAAAAAAAATTCAACAGGTAAGCTACAAGGAGTAGCTATAAACTTAAAAAAAATTATCTCACCAAGATAAAGTGCAGAATTTATTGGTCCATATCAACACACGTGAGGGCAGAGTGGTTTTACAGCCACGATAATTTGCAAATGATGATAACTGTTTATTTTGTGAATTTGCTCGCATTATGATGTAATCGGTTCTGAGGGCTCTTTCTTCCCAGCTCCTCTTTGTCTTTAAATGTTCGCTTCCGCACGTCTGAATTCTGGATTCGGGCTCTGCAGCCTCGGAGGCTCTTCCTGGCCGAGAGCAGCTCGCCCAGGTGCATGCCATGCTCGGTGAGATCCAGTGCTCCCTCTGCCGTGTCCCGAATGCTCCCGACACCGTTCCATTTGTCAGCAGAAGCGCTTTGTTGTGGCTTGTTTGTTTGAAGGAATGTACCTGCTGGCGGAGTTGTAGGGGAATAATAGGAAAAGTGAGATGCTGATGAAATTTACCAGAGTGGGCTGTGAGCTGCTTTCTGCAGCAGCTGCGCTCTCGGGTGTTTTTTTTTTTTTAACCACTTTCTCCTTTCCCATGTCGGTCTTCACAGAGGGCATCAGAACTGGGTTTAGTATCAGCCGCCGTGAATGTGGCGCTGGTCTGCGGCTCTCAAAGAGGAGGCGCAACAAGGCGTCCCGACACCAGGATCAGAGCCTCAGAGGGGTGGTGTCAGAGCACGGAAGGTGGTGGTGGGCATGGTCGCCATGACGATGCTCTGCCGCGTGCTCCACGCCAGCCTCCTCCCCATCTGGAGGAGGAGGGTGGCGGAGAGCGTGAGCTCTGGAACTCATGGCCATGGTTCACGCTGAGTCCTTGTGATTTGCTGGCTGTGCTGCTCAAGGTCAAGGGCGAGTTATTTCCCCTTTGTGGCCTCAGTTTCCTCATCTGTAAAATGGAGGCAGTAAGTGTCCCTCCTCACAGTGATACAGATAGAGCACTTGGCTCAACACTTTTCACGGACAGCACCCCATACGTTCTGTTCCTCCTTGGTTTGTTTCTGAGTCTCAGAAGTGCCTGCATGGTGGGGTCGCCAGCGCCATTTCTGCAGGGGACGAGCCTCAGAGGTTCAGCTGGATGATGCGGGTTGGGGTGGATGTGAGCACAGGCCTGCGTGCCTGCTGCGTTGAGTGAAGGTGGACACAGTGTCTGCGTGCTGGCCCCCTGTGGCTCTCGCGGTCCCTCGGCCTGCGTGCGTGCGCCTCAGTGGTACTATAATGTGGGCATACACACGGGGGCCCAGGTCTCTGGGCCACCCCGGAAGATGCCTGGCTGGGCGTTCCACTGCCCGCTGGGTGGGCTGTTCTCCCGCTGCTGGGTGGACAGGCCCCGGGTGCCGGGCACTAGTGAGGGAAGGAAGGCTCGTGGCTGGGCTGGCCGTGCTCTGGGCCCTGGTCAGGCCCCCACAGTCTCCTCGGAGCAGCAGGCCCGAGGCCGGACGCCGGCCATTTGCAGACCTGGAGGACTGGCATCGGGCCTCCGGCCCAGAGAGGAAATGGCGGCGGGGCAGGCCCAGGACGGGGTCCGGGAAGGCCGCCGAGGGTGGGAGCGGCCAGGGGGCCCCGGGGGCGCGCGTCCTCCAGCCGGCGCCTTCCTCCGGGAGGCGGGTGGCAGGGCTGGCCTGTGGCGCAGGTCTGCGTGTGTGTGCGTGTGTGCCTGTGCACGCATGTGTTCCCATGTGCGCACGCACCCGCGTGCTGGGCTCGGGGCCCTGAGCGCACCCCCAGGAGGTCAGGTGAACCGTTTCCCTGGAACACAGCAGGGACTGGGGGGCAGGATCTGATGAGATGGTGTGCACCCCCAGCCCGCCTTTGAGCAGACAGGCCTCGATAAGAACAGTTCTCACTGCCAGGCCTCGGTTCTCTCATCTCTGAAGTGGGAGAGACAGCGTCGGCCTGGGAGAG